AATGTGATAAGTACTACACCGTATGTGCACGGGTTATTTCGCAGCTGTATTTTCCGGTACCTGTCAGGTTCTGCTGAATCCGCAAAACGAAAGGATCACAAATCACTTTATCTCGGTGGCCGTGTTTCTCTTTATTAATTAAAGTAACGATAACCGGCCTGCGATTAAATATCATGATTGGCAGACCCTAAGACCCAGCGACTTATTAGCTGGGAAATACGGTAATTGTCACTTTTTCGACGTAATGGAAATGAATTTGTAAATTAAAAGCCTCGTAGACGAATGTCGGCAATGTCCACCCACGCAAACATGCAAATGTGTCGCAACACGCACGCACGGTCGCACAGAATATAAACAATCAAAGTGCCGATTCTATTTCATCGTCATTACAATACCTGAGACAGCGTAAAAAGTCGTTTGAAGATTCCCGTAAAACGAAACACCACGTTTACGGCGAAAAGTGGCTACTATTCGGAATTATTCGAAAATCAGCCGAAAAGGTATTCGAATACTTTGATATTCGAATACATTCGAATATTCGATTCGTTTTGGACAACTCTGACTGTAACCCTTATCTGTCTTACAAATATCTTATTTTTGCATTTCCAATAGATGAAATCTATTTATCACAAACTTCCAACCTCCAGTATGTTTCATCTGACGCAAAGCTTATTGAAAATCAGGTTCGTGGTGTGCAACAGTAACAAACGCTTTTGTTCTGTGATATGAAAAGTATAAAGTAAACACAAAGAACTGTCACTGTGTCAACAAAATATCACCATCTGCTTTCATTCGCTACATCTGAGTAAAAATGTTTTTGTCAAGTAACCATAGCGCTACATCTGAGTACAAAATATTTTTGTTGAGTAACTAAAGAGTTCGAACTATAGCAAGTGAATGAACAAAAAGGGCGTATAATGGGCGGTGACACAACCTAGGGTAGGATTTAGGAACCACAGCTTTCCGTCCGTTTATCAGTCCATGTCGAGTATGGGATTAGTAAGCAAGTTGTTTGTTTCAGATGCATAGACTCGATAGTGGAGGAAGCCGCAACCTAGCTTTGGTTACGTGAACCACCGTGCCATGGCGAAGAGGAGACCAGCAGTCTCCTTGCAAATAAATATCACCCATGGAATTCAAACATGCAAACTCATGCAACGTAAGAGCTGCAGTGATGAGCATATTCCACTTGGCAAGATGCGCTACGCTGCCGAGCCTCGCACGTGGAAAAGTTTCACATTAATTAACATGGTGGAATGTAGCCAGGGAAAGCAGTGGCCGATTGTTGTTTTTTTGTATCACACTGAAGTTGATGTTTAACAACCTAACTCGTGAACAGTTAACTAGCCAGTACAACTTGTCAGTTTCATTTGAATATTTTCGTGTTTTATGACTCGTTTTAAAAAGTTTAACAGTCCTCTGTCATGTTTGTGTTTTTTCTAACTATCAATATCGGTCAGTTCTTTCTGCGGGCGGGTTTTCCTATTTTGCTTCATTGAATCAGGAATTTCTTAGAGGTTTTAATTACTTTACTGAGGTCTTTGTTTGAGTACAGCGAACAAATTCTTCAATATACACTGAGAATAAGCCATTTTTTTTCAACCTTTTATATAATAAATTGAGAAATTCTCACATTTTTCGGAAATAAAAAATCCGAATACCATTGTCAAATTATCTCCACTTACAAATGTTGAATACATTTATGTTATGATATCTTAAAACGAGATGCTGATAGAATAGGATTTACCCATTTTTCCCAAGGGAGAGATTAGTCGATAGGTCGGCTTAATCAAATGACTAACCACAGCATCTCGTGCAGTTACCAGTCCATGTTGAGTGTGTGATTAGTTAATCAGTTATTTCAGATGCATCGAATTTATGGTGGAGGAAGCCGTAACCTAGGAATGTTACAAAACGCGCAAAAAAAAATGTCCGCATCACGTCTGCTAGAGATCATTACGCCACGCCAGAGTACCGCTGATAAAAACGGTTGCGGATTACATGCAGTATCTTGGAATTTCTTGAAATTTGAAAATAATTTGAATAAAATACACGACTATGACCTAGCATTTGATGTTTTTCATTAACTCTAAAAATCACGTTCAACTTATTTGTATCGCATTTTATTGATATTGGCTATAGACAAGGTTCCCTCTAAGCTGCGCAACTGCGCTATTGTACAGTACCACCATAACATTTGCGGTGTATTTTGGTGACCACCGGCCATTGTGATGTCACACACGTGTCTGTCACGCCCAAGCACCTTGTTTTACGTATGCCAGCGCGACCCAGTGTCGCATTCTGAAATTTTCATCGCGCGCTATGGATTTCATGTTGTCAACTGGCAGAATCTTGTTATTGTCCGTAGTGAAGTTGACACAGATGAAGATATGGAAGGCAATCTCAGACAGAGGGTGCGATAGAGATCGAGCTGAGAACTGGGCCGCTCCCATCAGCCTTCAACTAACACCACGTCCACGTAATATTATAAGGGCTATAGTGGCACCTGATAGTGAATTGGAAAAGGCAAATCGTTGGTGGGAATGGGAAGTTGACTATCCAAAATGCCATTTAAACCATGAAAGCACATTGACACACTAGATCAGGGGTGGGCAACTTCTCTAGTCAGCGGGCCAGATGTGAGAAAATGAAGTCCCCGGTGGGCCGGATTATTACATGAATGTTTACAATGCTCTCTACTTTGACCTTATATTGTTTGTTTAACAAGTGTGCTAACGCAATTGTCTGTTTACTAAAGCAATTGTTTATTTCACCAGCTCGCACTGACAGTGCGGTGAGAGTAGAGCGATCGGCAACTTTCATGAATGATGCGTCGGACCACATTACAGAGTGTGGTTGGATACAGTCAGCCTCAGCGGGCCGGTCAAAATCTCGTCGCGGGCCGCGTCCGGCCCGCGGACCGTATGTTGCCCACCCCTGCACTAGATGCATTAGCGTGGACACAAGATGAGGTTGTTCGAACTGTTTCAACGCAAAATCAACCGCTGAAAAAAGTGGAGTTTTGAAAATCCCGTCAAGTGAGATAAAGCCTCACATATATAGTATACTACTATGTGTCAAGCTGAATTTATCAATATTGTACTGTAAAGTAATAGATAGTCGTATTAAATTGCCATATTCATCGTGAAGCAAAAATTACGGCTTTAAATTTTTGAAAAGCATAGACTTTGTCGCCAAGGAAGAAATCATGCAGAGCATGAGACAAGCAAAACTTCATACCCTGATTGTTGGTGAAAGAAATGATATTTTAACAACAAAAATGTTGAGATTGTATAATAAGTTTTGTACGTTGGATGATTGTCGCTTGATTCAGAAATAAACACAACAAACATGGACGAAGTGTATAAGAGTTGGGAAAGCACGAAAACAAGGAGAAGCTATTCAAGTTAAATGGGTGCTTTCTTCGCATTCCGATAATATAGATAGGCTACTATTTTCACAAAGTTTGCAAATAATTTAGGATTCTGCTCAGCCTTAAAATAGTCTTAAATAGAAACATTTGCGCAGTGTGAAACTTTATTATTAGAGGGAACACTAGTTTCAGCGTCTGCCATCTTAGTTCACATACTTCAGCCCAATTTTTGCATATGTCAATCCTAACCCCCACCTGACTACAGCATTCAAAAATTTATTATATGGATGGTTGTCCAAAATGCACAGACGATAACCCGAAGTTAAGCAATTTATTTCTCTCATTTTTTCGTCGAAGCGATCCAGATATGAAAAAGATCGCTGGCGTTAGTGAGGTCGTTATCGTCGACATAAATGCCATTTTGGGCAATAGTAGCTATACTTAGGCAAATCTATAAGACTTGATTGTGATGCTGTAGTGATATAATTTCTGGAAAATGTAGTCAGGTAGGGATTTAGAAATGACATTTGTAAAAATGGTTATGACAAGCCCAGAGGAAGTACTTGTAGTAAGAGAGTACACAAGACCCGAAATCTGGACACCTACAGTTTACTGCGGTGTTCTATCAGCAATCTATCTACTTTTCTGGCTTTAATAGAAAAACAAGTATTTCGATAACCAAATTTTTTGAATATCAGAATACCATATCTATATTTGGTGCAGTGTTCCCTCTAAGTCTAAGATGTGCGCATGTGCGCACGCGCACAGCTTTCAGAGGCTGCGCACACGCATAGATTTACTGCGCAAAGACGTATTTCAATGTAATGTAACAATGTGCTTGGTTGGCAGGTTGAGAAAGTTTGTTGTTGGCCCACTTATTACCCGGTTAGAACGCCAAAATTTCTTCACTGGTTTTTGCACAAATATTAGTCATTTCCAAAAAAGTGCGCACACACCAACATTTTTGCGCACACATACTACAAAAAATTAGAGGGAACATTGATTTGGTGTCATACTAATTCAACAGCACAGCTAAATCTAGCAATTTTACTTTGAGATTGCAATGAAACAAAAAAATTGTGTTTTAATTGTATTTGAAATGATTTAATTTTTTATAGTCTGTCTGTACCAGTGGCTGGCAAGGTTTTTGGACCGAGTGCCAAAAATTTCAGCCACTTACACTGGGGGGCCATGTAAGTGTGACATAAAAAGAAACATTTTATGAACAATATTCACAGTGTTACAAAAGCAAAATAGGAAAACAATAAGACTCATGCCAAAACTAAATTTAACCACAATCTCAACAAATTCCTTGAGCTATTTTTTAGCTAAAACATCAAAATTTGGTTTTAGTTTGGTTGCGGCAGCATCAGGCGGGCCAGATTGAATTACGGTACCCAGTGAACCGGATTTGGCTCTGGGGTCAGATTGAATTACAGAGTAGGCCGTAGTTTGACCATGTCATGTCTATACTCTCATTTGCTTTATGAAACACAAACAATAACGACAAAGGATTTTGGCACAAGTGAAAACAACCCCTGTCAGACAGTCAGTGCAACTTTAAATTAGAGTAACAGCCTGTATGTTTGCTTCAATCAAACTTAATTTAAAAAGTAGTAACGTCTACCTGTCAACATCTGGCATCTCGTAATCGACTGCTTCCTTAGTTTCATTTCTTCGCTCAACAACGATCTTTTCCCGAACTCGTTTCACACCAGGCAGTGTTTGGAGTTTGTTGCGAATAAACTTACGAGCATCTAAACAAAACATTCAAAAATTTTAACACAGGATATATTCAATTCATCTTATGAGTAAGAAAAACCAATTAAATGACTTCATCATAAAACGAACAAGCATATAAAATCAGGTAAATCATAAGTATTTGCTTTAACAGTTTAAACCTACTTGGTTAAACAATGCCAAATCTGGCCCGTTGGGTGATTTAATCTGGCACGACTAATGCAGTCACAACAGAAGTGAAACAAAATTTTGATATTTAGCTAAAAATGGCTCAAGGAATTACAATTAAATTTAGTTTTGGCACGTTGCTTTTTGTTTTTCACTTTTGCTTTCATAACACAGTGAATATCGTTCATAAAATGGGTGAGCAAAATATTTGGCCTCTGGTCCTGTCCTTGCCCACCTCTGGTTTAAGCTGTACTAAATTTTCAGTCCACATTCTTTTTAAAATTTGTAGTTTTTTTTCAAAGTTGTATGAAATTGAGAAAACACCAACCAAACTTGGAATCAATAGATTTTTAATAGTGAAAAAATCATGAATTGAATTTCCGAATTGAAAAAAAAAAACACTCCCGACTTCACTCCAATTTTAAAAATTCGACAGCGACGAAAAAAAAGTACATGCTACACAACTCTGGCAAGATCATTTTACCTTCTTCTTCTGGAACATTCCATTCAGTATACGAAGCCATATCCTTCAACACAAGAACTGTTGGTGAATTATCATCAAGTTCAAATTCATAAAAATCTTTCAATAATTTGAGAACGTTTTTGTTTGTTTCAGAAACTCTTCGTACTTGTAATCCAGTAAATGCTGTCATGTCAAGAATAACCTGTAGTAATGAGAAGTACATTGATTAATGAAATTGCTGCCTCAAATATCTTCCTTTACAAAATCTAGAGTCGATGCTTGGACAAGGATGGCACAGTCAATCAAGCATGGCAGAAACAAGCACTCCTGTTTAATAAAAATAAAAAATAAAATTTTTCTGAAGGAATTTTGTACAATTGAGGTAATAGCATATTAGAGTTGTTTAACACATTAATTACTGAAAATTGAAAATAGATCGGTACATTACTTGCGATTTTTCTCAACAACAAGATTTTAGCAACTCAATCGATATGTACACTTTGCAGTCAAAAATTAGAGTCAAAGTGAACAATTATAAAAGACAAGCACACAAAGAGGTCTCGGCTTTTAACACTCTCTAATTCATTGTATATGCGTGCATGTTTTAATTAACTAAACACCTTTGGGTGAGAGAACACATACCACTTCTTTTGACAACACCTATCAACCTAAACTTTGTACGTTTTAAACATTACTTAATCCCTGAAATATAAAGGCAATTAATTGCCTACAATATAATTCACAGAACACAAGTGTAAACCTGGAATATTTTTTTGAAACAAATCTCAAATTACAATCACCTGACGGCCAACAAATGATGATTTAGGTTCAATAATCAGAACTCTGTGATCCTCATTGGAGTCTTCGTCGATCAGAACTTCAAGATCTTTCTTTCTGTTATAAAAAATATTTTGCATCGAGTTGAGAAAAACTTGTAATCGTAACCGTACAAGGCGGATTTACGAATGACAATCTTGAACGTCAAACACAAGAAATATTTAACCGCATATTTTCAGGTTCAATTATGACTCAGGTATTTGAAAATTACAAAAAAACAAAGAAATGTCACCCGGTCGAGGAGTGCCATGATAATAACTAAGAACAATTTTCTAATATAATATAGTTTATCGCATTTATCGAGACTTGAACTGATTGCAACTGACAATCACTGTAAACCAAGGCATATGAATATAGTCAAACTTTGCTTTAACATTTATTTAATTTTTTCCATCAGTCACACTTTCACTCTAAATAAGACTGGTATGGTTTCATTAAATCCCAATTTTTTTTTATCAATTTTCTCGCTACAATAAAATTTTATCAATTTTATAATGAAATCTACAGTAACATACAGTTTTTCTTTTTATTTCAAAGTTATCTTTGAAACTTAATCTTCTACACAGTGTTTCTAGTGTTCAGTTTCGAGGAATAAGAAGTCCTGTGATGACAGATTTTCCCCCAGCATCTATTTAAACTTTTTAAGCTTATGGGAAACTTATTAAGCAGTGGTAATCATGAATATGATATTGTGGGATAAATGAACTTGTTTGTTAAGCTTTCACCCAAATCTGTAAAGCACTAAAATATGGCTGGAACAAGCATTTGAAAAAATTTCTTTGAGCTATAAGATGGTTTTAAGTATCTGGCCTTCATGGGTAATTTTAAAATTCTTCCAAGCCAGGAAAAAATTACAAAATGAATCAAAAATTAATTAGATTCGATATTCCAATTTCTTGATTTAGAAGTAATTTACAACAACTTTTTTGAAAAAGTTATATTTCAAGTAGTCCCACAGTATGACCAAATAGCCAATTTGGAATATTTTCCATATTTGAAACTTTTATTCTTGAACATTTTTAAAATATTGAATTTTGGCCATCGTTGTGCAAAAAAACACTGTTAATAAAACTAAAATTTTAATTTCCCCCATAAACATGACAACTATTTTCAAATACAATTATTTGAAACAATCTAAATGACACATAAATTCTATTTTTTGTATATACTTTAAAGTTGCCAACGAAAATTTTTCATTTTTCGAATTTTCTTGAATAAAACCGATCAAGCTTTCTCGTACTTTCTCCAACGAATCAGAATCTTCAATAACAGAACCGTCACTTCCGTAAACTTTTTTACCTTCCAAATTCAGTATCAAGTAATTATGATCGAATTTTTAATAGCAGATACGACTCAAATAGAAAGACGACTTAAAACCAGAAAGATTCTGAATAATAATAAGCGACAAGATCGACTGTTTGAAGTTTTGAAGTTTACAATCAACCATCTCAAAATCACTACTTCAGTTTCGTAGGTTGAAAATATACCAGTAAATAAATTATATTCCACCATCTCAGCTAGTGCACAATGGAATTGCAAAAACGATTCCAAACCAATTTTTTCCAAAATATAGTAACTCACAGAGCGGGGCTACTCAACTGGCGGACCGCGGTCCGAATCCGGACCTTTTGTTCATTAAATTTGGACCGTCTGCTCATTTCCTTTGGCAGCATAAGCCTCGTTTAATAGTTTTACATGATTTTTGATACCATTTACATACACAACTACACAGTTTGTCGTACTGGTACCAATGTGCGACATTTATATCCATATTTTTGAGTTATTCATTGCTCTTGTATTTAATTTAATATTACATTTGAAGTTTCGTTTATTCAATGAAATAAATTTTCTGTAATGTCCAGACCCCAGTAATTTTGAAGTTTTCTAAATGAACCTTTGGTGAAAATAGTTGAGTAGCCCTGTCATAGAGTATCAGTGAGTGCGACCGAATGGTCTTCAATATGCCAATGACATTCTGCCTCGTGTGTAGTGCTATTTCTTCATTTAACAAATTGGTGTATTTGGTTGCATTAAAATTTTTATCAACAGATCTAAATTATGTAAGATTATGATCCATTGCAAATTGCAAAATCCACAATATGTTGAAAACCTATACATCTGAATTCCTAACAACTAGTAATAATTTACAAAAAAAATATCTGGCTGACAGTTTACAACTTTATTCGTGTTCGGGTTTTAATTTTACCTTCATATTTTCTTCGAAAACCAGCAAATTCCTCATCCGTCATATTAGCAGGAAAATACTGAAACATACAAATTTGTCAAGAGTTTATCGAATTGTGCATCAAATTTAGCATTTACAGTCATCCAGTAACTGTGAATCCTATGTATAACAGTGGATATGGCGGGAGATGACTTGGATGATTGCATGGTTGTATTGTTCCCTCCAGCATTTACCAAAAAACATTGTGTTTGTGTGTGCTTCATTTTTACTTTTAGTACAAAGTTCCATGTAGTACTTTTACGTCACATGTTTGAACTCCATTATCGAATTTATTTGGTGTGTTGTCGTTATTTTGTATCATAGTGGGTATATTTACACAGTATTTAGCATGTGAATATAATATAAAGGCATTTAGATGAACATTACAAATTCACGTCTTACCCTAAAATCTGGCATCCCACTGATAAAGAAAGGTTTCCTAAAACAAACTTTATGTCCGGTATCAAGACCACTCTCTGATTTACTGACACAATCTACTCCCGCCAGCCGCACGACTTGATGCCAATCTAAACAGAAAAAAGATAGTCTGAAAAATTGATAATGATATAAATACTTTGCAAACTGAATATTCAAGCAAAGTTTGGAATATTTCAATAATAAGGGGTTTCAAAATAAAAAAATAAAAGACAAAAATTGATCGGAAAACTATGAATAGCATAACATTTCCAAGGTTTCAGACGGTGCTCCCGAAGTATGTGCACCAAGAGGGCGTACAACCTGAACACAGTCTGTGTTATTAGGTAATAGGTTGTGTGCCATCTTGGTGCACATACTTCTGGAGTACCTTTCAGATAACAAGGAATGTCGGAATTGACAACGATATAAATGCTTTTTACACTGAATTTCGAAGCAAAAATTTCAATAATTAGTTTAAAGTTTGAAAAAAAGAAATTTTCCTGATTTTCTCAAAACGATGCTTTGTTCATGATTTGTCTTTCATGGTTCCTGATTTAACAAATCAAAATTATGGCAACATTTCTAACATACTTTAATCGGCGCTCCAGAAGTTTGTGCACCAATATGGAGGTAACTAATTTTGTTTATTTTACATCAAGTTATGTAAAGGAACTGAAACCTATGGCAAGGGTTATTATATTAACTTGGCAAGCACATATAGTTCCCGAACTAGTAATAGAACTAAAATAAGGAAATTCGGAATGAAATTAGGACCTAACTCTAACCTGGTACACATACTACGGGAGTACCATTCAATCATCTTGAGAATATTTCGAAGCAATATACTAGCAGCAATATATTGTACACAAGCATACCCTTAATATCCAATGCAAGCTGTTTATAAGTTGGAGCAAATGTCTTACAATGTCCACACCAGCGAGAGTAAAATTTAACAAACCACGCTACAGAACTGTTGTACACGGTTGACCTGAGAAGCAAAGGAAAAAAATAAGGATGAAAATTTGAAGTAATGCATGACAAAGGATATTCCTATTATTTCACTTTGATAGGATTTACATATTTATCCCGAGGAGAAGAAAGCCGTTATGACGACTTAACCATATGGCGAACCACGTCCTCTCGTCCGGTTACCAGTCCATGTTGGGTATGGGATTATTTAGCCAGTTGATTGTTTTTGGAACTCTCAGTCATTTCATGTAATAGACTTACCTGAAAGTTTCAGCATCTAACATTTCTATCCCATCATCAATGGAATAATGAACGCCTTCACCTAAAAAAAACAGCAACAAGGGGGAATGAAATTGAAGGGAGGATTTTGTATTGAATTGTTTCAATCTTCAGCATTTAAGGAAATTTCATTGCAATTATTAATTAACAACAGTTCTTAGCATAACAGTGGTTACTATAAGTACATTTTCCACTTTTGATAGGATTCACACATTTAACCGGGGGAGAGGAAAGCCGATAAGATGGCTCAAACATATGGAGAACCATGGCGTCTCGTCCGGTTACAGATCTATGTCGGGTATGGGATTAGTTAGCCAGTTATTCATTTTAGATGCATGGACTTAATGGTGGAAGAGGCTGTAACCAACCAGCAGATATGTGAACCACACTGCAGCAGTGAGCAGTCCAGAGAGAGAGATTTTATTTCCCCAAATAATGAAAAGCTTCAAGCAACATCAATAATTTTCATAGAAGAATTTTCATTGTTTTGTCCAGTATGCAAGACTGTTGAAGATCATTGAGGCTTTTATACTGTTATTAAACTGTCAGAATTGATTGCTACAATACAAATATAAAAAAGGCAGAAAATGAGTCATCAGAAATTTTAGTCCTCACACACATACTTTCCAATCCTCTCACACATAATTATACGACCACAGGTAAACTTCGTGAACACTTCATATAAAAAATTGATTTTACCTCTTCTATGTCTCAAGTTTCCATTTTCATCTTCATCGTCATCATCATCAAGCCCAAATGATAAATGAAACAAGGAAATCAAAACCAAGAAATACACACCAAAGTAGAAAATAGATTTCATTTTGTAACCTGTTTTCTATGAGAAGAAGAGAGAAAGGGCAATGTGATAACAGCCAAATGGATACTGAATTGGTTGGCTTATGATTGCATTTAAAGACATGGTATGCAATTGCAAAATGTTGGATATTTTTAAAAGGTTCAACAGATATTGGTTGACTTTAATAAGACTTGCACATTTATATTCAGCCTAATAAATTATGGCAACATATTGGTTCTATACAAAGATGGAGAATAGGAACCATTTGAGGGTTTATTTGATTGGAGTGTCGATTGTGGAAATGAGTGGATGAACTTCTTTTTTTGACAGATTCTATTAAGCAAGCGATGAAATTTGTTCAGTTTCATCTGATAACTCATGAAGAGCCTCAACGTTCTTACAATTAAAATTATCTTCGATTTCTGGCAACTTCGGTAAAAGAACATCATTAAGAGGTTCACCGCTCTCATCAAAATATTTCAACCATTCTTTATTATGATAAGTGTCTACGAGAGCAATATTAGGAATTCTGTCACAAATTTCTTGATAGGCGTAACATAAATCTCTGAAATGTGCCATGTATAGATTAAACGGCCTTTCTAATGGGTTGACACCAGATATTCTTATCATTTCATCCACTAAATCCATGCGACTTCGAGGGAAAAGTGTCGCAATACCTTTTCGACACCGCTTCTGTCTGAAATGAAATATGTGTTTTACAACATGGTCGACAGTTTTAAAAGGTAATTGAATTTCAAACTGCTTCTTAGGAATAATTCTTATAACAGCGACATTTACTTTTGGGGGTGGTACAAAAGATTTCCCAAAAATTGTGTGACAATAGTCAATATGACATAAATATTGTGCCGTAATCGAAAGTCTACATCTTTGTGATTCTTTTGGCAGAGCTACTAAGCGTTCTCCGACTTCTTGTTGAAATGTTAAGATCGCTGGAATTCTTCCTAGCTCATAGACACCACTATGATGTGATATCAAATTCAACCATTTAAATAGAAGCGGCAAAGAAACATTAAATGGCAGATTCCCCATGAAACATAAAGCTGGTAGTTTAGATTCAGTCCACGGTTTCGCTTCTTCTTTGGGAAACGCAATCGTTTCGTCAAAATCGAAAATATCCTCATGATGAATTTTCATGCGTCCTTGCGTTGTGCTCGCTAACATTTGCAAACTTTGGATAAACCTCCAGTCTTTTTCAACCACAGAAACACTCTCTGCATTTTTGTTCAATATTGACCGAGTTATTCCTCCCGGACCAGGTCCGACTTCACATATATGTTTACCGGTTAGGTCACTCGTAGCACAATCCACCATTCTGCCAATTATTCTCGGATCGAATAAAAAATTTTGCGCCAACTGTTTCTTTGCTCGGACATTATAAATTTTAAGAATGCTTGCAATGGATGGCAGAGGCGGTAACCTTAACTTTGGTGGCATAATCCAGCTAGAAAAGAAAATAATTGATATAAATGGAAATAATGAAGAAAAACAGACCAGATTACTGATATCTAGTAAACATTATCAAAATCTTATGTTATACATAAAAAATTGGAAAAATTTTGCAGCACAGACAAAGAGATGCACACAATAATTTTAATAGGTTTAACAGTCAAATATTAGAAAATTAAAGGGCCCGGCAGTGTGGTGCATCGTGCTATGCGATAGGAATATGCTCGCCACCGCCCCTCTGATTACCTTGAGTGTGTTCGGAGGTTCGAATCCCATTGGAGATAATTATGTGTGAGAGGATTGGTAGACTCCTCGCCGCCATAGGCTGGTTCACATAACCACTAGTCGGTTAAGGCTTCCTTCAACATCAAGTCCATGCATCTGAAACAAATAACTGGTTAATTAATCCCATACCCGACATGGATATGTAACCGGACGACAGACTGTGGTTTATGTGATTAAGTCGTCTTAGCAGCTTTCCTCTCCCTTGGGATAAATATGTAAATCCTACCCTAAATGACAAAACATACCAGGAGACCAGGGTACAAACATAAAGATAATCAAGATCTCAGGCAATTGGAAATTTTTTCACAAATAAACAGAACTGCACCATAGCTTAGGCTTGGAAAAATGTAGAATCAAAATTAAGGTTGTGTATACTAAATTTTACAAAATTTGAAGGAGCGACAGTTCGACTTCAGGTGAACATGGCAGGGACCTCCTGAAGTATGCGCACCAAGATGGCGCACAACCTGAACTCAGGTTGTGTACAAAATTAGGGTTCAGGTCGTGCGACATTTTGGTGCGCATACTTCAGGAGTACCCATGACAGCGTATAAATTTTAAAATGACTCATCAAAAAAATTTACATGATTAGGTCGCATGTTGCTTTTAATGTGAATAATCCAAACCATTATACAGTGTTAATTATTTTTTGATGGGCAGCAAGGTCATAACATCTGAGCATTTTACTATGGTAAGTTAGTAACCTTGCCACAGAAGAATGTTCCTGGAAATGCTTTTTGAATCGGAAAACTTTGCTGGGGCCACAAAATTATTTTTGCATTGTTCGCGGGCCACAATAGTGCCAAGAATATGCAAACAGTGCAATACAAAACAAACACTTTTATTGTGCAAACACATCGATCATTATTTGTCATTTATCAAGCTAAAACATGCAAAGACCATCAAAAAACTCCCTAAAATGTGCAAATCGTCATAACTCTTAGTCAATTCAGTGACATTAGTGATGCAACAATATGTCGAAAGATTTTTCTGGTTATTTTTATGACTAGACAAATACGATTTTTGATTAATAACCTCCAGCAAATGTGACACGGGCCACAGATAATGAGGCTGCCAGATGTAACCATCCGGTGTAACCAGAAATTTATAGAATCATTTTACCTTATCACGTTTTGCCAGTGATAAAGTATGTGCTTCACGAATAAGTTTAAAAGCATCCATGTCATAATAAGGAATATTAGTAAGTGGGTCTATATATCTGGCAGGCTTATTTGTAACTGGACAAATAGGTTTATTGATTCGAGGCTGTTTTTTCCAGTGGAATTCATTTTTAAAAACTTCAGGTTCAGAGAAAATTATAAAATCTCTCGAAATTTTTGATGGCTCATCCGGGTCCACTGATGGCATTGTTGTCGATAGGTATTTGATTGTTGGTTCTGCAAATGTTCGTTTTTTCGTGCTCGATTTTTTTCGATTCGCTTCGAGACGTTGATAGTTGTGCAGCGATTTCAAGTTTTTTCGTTCTGTTCTTTCCGCTTCTTGCATTAATTCTTCCTGAGTCAAACGTCTCACACCAGCCATTGGTTTTTTCACAGTTTCTTTTTTCTTTTGGTCTGCGATTTTACGTTCTTTTACTTTCATGCTTATTAAATAGGAATTTGCTGCCGTGGCGCGACGAGATGATTTACGACTTGGCCCGTCATTGTTTACGGCAGTTGGTTCAGTTTTTTTCGCCTCTTTCGGAACTTTTTCTTCCTTGTTATCATCACTTTTACTTATTTCTTTTTCATCTTTTTTTGCTTTTTTAATTGAGGGATCTTTATAAGCTTTTGTGTTCGCTCCTCTTTTTCGTTTTTTCTCAGATTGTTTTATAGTTTCTTCATCTTGATCGCTGACAATTTCATCGTTTTCCGAGATATCAAAATCTGAGTCGACTTCATCTGCGGAATCTTCTTGGTCTGACTCAAAATCATTATCTTCTTTTTCCTCTTCAAAACCTCCGTACGTAGTCTTATAAAAGTCATCATCATCTAGTTCTTCTTCCATGACCTTTGACATCCGATTTCCTGCAGTACAACGAGGCTCTCTTGCAGCAGCCATGATGGTTTATAGCAGAAAAAACTTCACTAAATTTATAAATTCGATTTGAGTCTGAAAATACAAAAAAATGCAGGAATATATGTTATATCTACAGTGGAAATAATATGAAAGTGTTTTATTTCTCTATGAAAAAGATACCAACTCATGGAACAGTGGTAATGTAATAGTAGAACACAATATCTCAGTGGTTAGCACACTTGGCCTAACTACGGTATGTTACAGTCTGCACCAAATGAGCAGTAATGTTACCCAAGATTAATAACATGAGGAAGTAATTCTGGGCGGGAAAGATTTTTGCACAGACTTTTTGTTTTTATTTTTATTTGAATTATCAGTGGTACATTCGCTATAATCCTGGCCCCCCCTGTGTAAGGGGCAAAAACGGTATTTATAAAATACCTACAAATAAGATTTTAACATAAATAAAAAATTGAATTGAACATTCAAAAGTATAATAATACGCCAATATAAAGAAGAAGTAGCCACATACACATCATCAACAATATTTTTCAGAGAAGCACACTGTCAAAAAGGAATAAAGTAACAGCTTTCAAAACGTAAATCATGTTATTATGGTCATTCATCTCAGGAAAGAATATACCAGCAAATAAAATGAGGGATTTAAGATGGTAGAAATAAAAATTTTACAAAAATAGAATTAAACAGTTGGTGGAAATGATATACACAGTGGGAAATGAACTAATGCCATTGATGGTAATTTTGGTTTAGACAAAATTTAAATTCTATTATTCACAAGTCTAAGAATACAGTGTTCATAATAATATGTTACAAAATAATAATGATATAAATTATATTTTCATGTTAATAATAAGAGCTCGACCGATATATCGGTCTACTGATATATCGGGCCGATATTGCGTGTTTGCCGATATATCATATCGGCAGTAAACAACCGATACATATCGGCCAAAGTCGGTAAGCGCCAGGGTGCGTGCTTCAACGGCTCTCGCCTCTGCATAACTGCCGGTTTCCCAATATTTCTCTCGTTTTCATTTTGCGTTAAAAAGATGTCTCTCTTATTCCCTACAATACCAGTACAAACATAACAAGCTTCTACTTCACAGTGCTGGTTTCAAATGATCCATTACATCAATATCGATGAATAATAATTCCCAATACAAATTTTATACACTTATAAGTAATACAATAATTGCATAAAATTGCTGAACTTATGTGTCAATACAATTAAAATAAAACAATGCAATCAAACAGAGTCCAGAAGCTAAAACTGATTTGTGAGACTGCGAGCACAGTTTTTTGTCTTCCAGCTGGAGGGCGACCTGACAGCGAATAAATGAGATCTAAAAGACAACAGTTGCGTGTTGACAGAAAACTTTTCTTGATAGGAAAGTAGATCAACAATTTCAACCTTTGCTAAGGGAGAATATACAGGGGAACGGAAGCATTGGCTTGAATGAATTTTCCACTCATTTTATCTACAACATTCCAGGTATTACTCTCAGGATCCAGTTCTTCAATTGTATTGTTAGAAAGCTCCCCTCCAACAACAAATAGCTTATCTCCCACAACACATGAAGTAAACTTTGCCCTTGCATTGTTTAAACTAGCAACAGTGGTCCACGTTTCTGCAACTGTATCGAAGCACTCTACAATATTCAAATGGAAGCTTTGAGTCCCACCCATTGCATAAATTTTTTCCTCGAGTCCGGCTGCAGAAGAAAATTTTCGTGCGGTTGGCATTGACGGAAGTTCTTCCCATGTTAAATCTGATGGATTGAATCTCAAGTTATTCGACATATGTCCAGTATTGTTCACCCCTCCTATGCAGTAGATGAAACTTCCAAGAGAAACAATAGATGATCCAAATCCTTCCACTGGCTTATGCGTGACATCAGACCAAGTTTCATCATATGGGTCATATTTCTCAACAGCATTACTATACCAACCATGGTCAGCAAATGCATAAATATAGTTGCCAAAAGCAACACCGATCGCACGTTTCTTAGCTGATTTTCGATCGTCCAGTCGAACCCATGTAGCATTGATGTCGGTGTAATCCAACTTATAATTGTTCCCGTAATTTCCAAAAACATATATAATGTCATTAAGCACTGCTGCAGTGAAGTATTTAGCAACAAATTCCTTATCGATCTTCTGCATTTCTGTCCAGGTTTTCAGAAATGGATTGAAAACATGGATGGAACATGTTGTTTTACTAAACACTGCAATTACATTTTCGTTAGTCACAAATTTTGAGGTGGCTATGTCAACATCCTCTGGCTCTACATTTGTTAAATCATTGGCTTGAGTTAGAGCACTCGTACATAAATCTGAGTTGAAAACTGAAGGCTCTTTTTGAATAAGATATGACTGATATTTCGAAGCAATTTTAGTCAAATTCAATTTTTCAAAAAGTGCTTCAAAAGTAGAAGTTCGAGTTCCTCTCTCAAAATTTGTCCAAATAATCAGCGCCTTGCATTTTATGTCTTCGGAAGCTTTTGTATTCCGTGATCCAATCAACAAAGAAACAAATTCCTTCTCTAAATGTTTAAAATCATCCTTCATAGCTAAATGTTGAAAATTTTTTAAAGCAAACTTTTCACAACATTCAAGTAATTTTGTACAATTGAACATATCTGCAATTATCTTTGCTGAATAAAACGACTCTATATTTATTTTCTTTCGAAGATATGTCGCAACATTCTCGCAAACTTTTTGTAGCTGCATAATATGAGCAGTATGCATTAGTTGTTTGCAATTTTTATAGTCAGGAATGCTAAGATGTCCAGTGTAAATGAAATCAATGCAAATCCTAACGCTTGAAAATTCAGTTTGTTTCATTTGAACGACGCCAGATCGACTTTCAACATTTTCATGAAACAGCATTGCTCTGAAATAGTCTGACCCTGCGGACAAAATATTCCTGTGTGCCAGGATTTCTTCATTACCAACCTTTATTGCAATGTCACAATGTTCTTTACTTTTTCTCATTTCGTTAAGCTTCTTCATTATTTCTGCACAATGATCTTTATCATATCCGTCAGTAGTTAGTTCCATTTTTGTGATTGTGAAAACTAAACCAGAACCCAACAAGACTTTGACAGTTATGGCCACTCTTCTAAAACAGTAAAACAAGCATAAAATACTAAGATGGTCATACAGAAGGTTAATTACAGAACAGCGCTGAAGTTCGGCTACCCACTGATGCAATGTTACAGGTACTATATGCCGATAAAAAAGCAAAAGTAGGGTGTCGCTACCGTATGCCTGTATGCCACAGTTTTCGAATATTAGGTACATAAATATAAAATGTACGGTACGGTACCGTAAAACCGGCTAACTTCGGATGATTTCACTATATTTTGAACAATATCTCCGCCGCATGTTGTTCAACTGAAGCCAAATTTGGAATATAATACATTGTGGCTATTCTCGTCTTGATAAAGTCGGTTCCATATCCATCAAAGCCTTTTTTCATTGAAATTATTGTCTTTATTCGTCTATTCTAAAATTATCTAACTTCGGATGGCCACTTTTCTCTTTGCGTCAACTCGTCGTGAGAGAGAAATGTCTGCGTAAGCAATGACGCGTGACAACGTCGCTGAATAGACCTTACGCCGCCACGACCTGTCTTGCGTGTTGAATACTGACGTTTGTACGTGACGTTACTCTTGCCGCTTCGCGAAGCCTAACTATTTATTCTTGTGTCCTTTATTATAACTCGTATATATTTCACTAACTACTCCTAATTTATTGCAAAATGCTAGTTCGTTCTTTTATGATCGTTTATTTTCAATGCAAGAAAAGGATTAACAAAAAAAAAACGGAAGAATTGAAAGTACCTAACACTGGTGTAGGTTGAAATTGAAATGCAATATGGAACAAGTAAAGAATGAACAAAAATTAGACAATTAAAAATAAACGGATGAATCGAATGAAACACTGGCAAAAGTAAAAATTGAAATCAAAAAGCAATATGGAACAAGTAAGGTATGAACAAAAATTCGACAGTTAAAAATAAACAGATGAATTGAAGGAAACGCTGGCAAAATCAAGAATTGTAATCATTTCCACATGGGTTAGACGGGTCTTTGCAACAGTTCTTGTGGAACCAATGTGTTTCGCTGCAGCTTTCGCAACCGACCCATTCCACCTCAATTTCCGTACTTCCATTTGAATCATTCCATAATCCACAAGCAGAGCAGGTTTCGTCTTGATTATCACTTTTCATATTTTCTGATTTTCTCAGAGCTCCCCGTTGATCGGCTCGGCAGAGGTTCCTGCCCGGTGTGACTTTCGATCCTCGCTTTCGTTTCACTTAATAAAGTCAAATGACAATAAACGGATAAAAACGGCAAAAAGAAACTTTGCCACTTTTTTCATTTTGCGCCTCACCTGTATGTGGTCCAACCTCCTGCTGTGTGCATGTATGTAGAGTTCTACGCTCACCTGTTAAAGATATTATTATCATCTGCCGACATATCTAATCTACAGACATATCTAATCATTATGATCGTATAGATACATGTTTCAGGCCTAACGTATTACCAATTGCTACGGTATCTATCGGTGTCGGAGGAAGTATGCAAAAACAAAAATCGACAAATTTCATATGCATTAAGCGTATGCATACCCATATTTTTAAATAAACAACATATGACTGAGACGATAGTGATGTTTTTGTAGGATTTAGTGACTAGGATCATGGATAAGCATAATTTTTAAATTTCACAAAACTGGGCGCCGCGATGTCTGGCGTTCAAATGTCGCAGCGAGTAACGCACGAGCTACGCAAAGTGACGTCGGCTACGAAGAGAGAGAACGGGATTTGCGTCGTTGACGTCACGCTGTACGTAATCTTCAAAACGTCGATATTTTGATGTAATTTTTTAAATCAAAATAATCGATTTCACTCGAATCTCGTACGACACCTTGTGATCACTGTATTTTTTGTATACATTGTGTTCGCTCTCTAGCGCTTGGCGGTGATTTGACGAAGGTAGCGTCTGTAGAAGTCACGATTTGAGCCGCTCGAAAAAACGGTGTCATTTTTTTGGTAAAATATGATTTTTTGAATGATAAAAAATCAAATCGAGCGATTGGAGGCTACGGCAGATTCAGATATGTAAGGCCTTACTATAGAAACCGACAGAAGCGCAATACGACGAAATTTAGTTGAGATATGAATGATTGAAAATTTCATCCGAAGTTACAAGGCATCCGAAGTTAGCCGGTTTTACGGTAGCTCAATTCAACAATGCTAGTTGTAGTCTATTTAGACAGTAAAGTAAGGAGACGATATGTCACGGTTTCCCAATATAATATACGGTATTCCACTCGCTATTATAGAATTAATCTCAATTCAACAAATGCGGTACCGGTACCGGTACCTTCGCTTTCTGTTGTAAAACTTTTTAGCGCGTCACTATCAACGAACGCGGGATTCGTGTACACAGGTTAAAAAGTAAAGACGCGTCCTTCAATTTCCCAAATCAGATGAATGCGCCACTCACAACTAAGGAAATTCCGCGCCGTTAATCGTTTTCATAACAACATTTAAATATTAAATAAAACAAATAAATAATTATGATATTCATCAGTAATAACTTAAACCCATGTGTAATTACATTTCGAATTTTATAAATGCGAATCACAGAAACACGTTGCTTACCTGCTCATCCATGACCTGACCGAGCACTTTTCATTGGTTTTCAAAGGGCTCACTTTGCCGGGCTCGTCAAGTTATGTTTAAAAATATACGCATTCTTTATGCCACGTCACACCCATAAGTTAAACTAGGGTGGTCCAAGGTTGTCGGCTCCGGGACAATAAAATTATTTTTTCATCGTTCGCGGGCCACAATAGTGCCAAGATTAGATAAACGGGGCAATACAAAACCCTTTTATTGTACAGACACTCATCAGTATTTGTCATTTATCAAGCTATAACATGCAGTAACCACCAAAAAACACACTAAACTCATCAACCCCAAATGCAATTTTTTGATTACTCTCCGAATGCGACGTGGGCCACATGAAGCTGGGTAATAACGGGCCTGGGTTTGGACCACCCTGAGTTAAACTAGTGATGATTAAACCCCAAATGATGAATAAATAGACGCTGAAAGTGTACAACTCGGACATGTGAACATTCGCAATTATACAGGCGAACAGTGAAACTTGATGTATCATTTTACAGTTTTATTCACAAGGTTGCTCAAAGCAAAGTCGTTGGCCTCCAACCAAAAGTATAATGGGTTTATCCGTAAATATATGGTTTATCAAATTCGGCACCCGTTCAATCTAGTCTAGTTGATAAGTCTTGCTATATTCACTGAAGGTAGCATACCGTATATCCCAAGCAAAACAACTGTCAAAATATGTTTCCATGGGCATGGCCCTAATTACCGGTGTGGCTCAACGGGCTAAGCGTTAGGAATACGCTCGCCACCGCACCTCTAATTATTCTGCGTGGGTTCGCAGGTTCGAATCCCATGCAGGGATGGTTATGTGCGAGAGGATTGCTGGACTCCTCGCCGTCGTTGGGTGGTTCACGTAACCGCTGGTCGGTTACGGCTTCCTCCACCACCAAGTCCATGCTTCCGAAAAAACAAACAATATAACTAATCCCATACCCGACATCGAATGGTAACCGGACGAGAGGCCGTGGTTCGCCATATGGATAAGCCGTCTTATCGGCTTTCCTCTCCCCCAGGATAAATATGTAAATCCTATCCTATCCTACCGGTTCTGGGCCAGAGTGGGATCACCATTTCTTATTAGGTACCGGTATACCGGTAGCGTACCATGTAAAATCATAGGCATCCATCCTACCACTTTCTACAGAGAAGTGTTTATTTGAGCATCTGTAATGAATTAATGATTGTTCAGTGACCATTTTCTGTCCTCACCCATCCCGCTGTACTCATTAGTCAGTGACTTCATTCAGTGCAACACATATTTATAACACATTCCCAAGTACCAAAAAAAACAGTATGAACATGAAATGTGTTTATTATACCTGAATTTTATTTGTATTTCTTGCCAGATTGGAAAATGGCCACTTGTCAAACTAGACCAGTCTCTCTGACACCTCATAACTCGAAACAGTATTACCGGTCTCCAATGGTGGAGGTTTTATCAATGCCCTGGAAGATTTAGCATACTGAAGAGTCGCATATCTTCAAGGTTGAATTGAAAAATATTTTGAATTGTGAAAATGGCATCGAGAATCTTTCAGTATTTTGGGTAGAAGTTTATTTATAACAATGTTTGATTTCATAATACAATTTAAGGCAAAATGGAAGTTCATCATCTAATGTCAATTACAGATGGTTGTGCGCACCTAACGAATTCTAGCCATGAGAGCCGAACAACTTAATAAAGTACCAATGAATTATTCTGTACCAATATTATATCAGTGAAAAATGAATTAAAAATACAGTGAAAAAGAGGCATATAAACAGTGGATATATATTATAAATATGAATTGTATTACTGCACACAATATATATATAGGATTTTATACATCTATTTATTCATCAATATAATTAATATACAGAACTAAAACTATTCGGCAAGACACTTATAAGATTTGTTTTAAGTTTTTACTAAATTTCACAAAGTATGTTGAGATGACAGCTTTACCAGTCGAAAAACAGCGGGAATAAAACTTAGTACAAGACAGTTGGACATAAGTCAGCCCACATAATACATAAGAGTCTTTATATAACATTCGGAAGAAAAGGGTGACTGCTAATAAAATAATGGAGGTATAAAAATATAGCAGGAACAGTGTGTTAAGATATGAAAAGGTAAAAATGTTATGTATAGATATAACTGTACAAGAATATATGAACATGGCAAGTTAAGGTGATTCAATGCATTTTTTGAAATAAAAGATTTATGCCAGCAGTTTGTAACTGGGGCCTGAGGGTTTCATCGCTGAATAAGGGTATTTTCACTTTTTTGAGCATGAATTTTTTGAACATACGGGGATTTGAACTCTACCAATCAATCAAAACTATAAATACAACTGGGATGATAAGCAAGGGGGGCATATGTGCCAAAAGCCTCTGCAAAGGGGGCCACAAGCTATAAAGGTTGGAAACCACTGATTTAGAGAAATGTTATTATGGTGTACCTAAAATATTCTTACAGCATTTCAATTTTTTGAAGCAAAATCAAATTCTATCATTAAATGACTGTTCACCAAAATATGGTATGTAGGTTATTTTGAATTTGACTTGTGCAGTGAATTTGTAAAATTTGAAGATTAAGATTCCAAGATATTTGGATATGCCCAGTTTAAAAGGGCACTTAATGAGTTATGTACCAAGTGAAGACTAGTGAACAATGCAAAAGAATGAACAATTTATAAATTATATCAATGACAGTGTTAAAAAAATAGTACGTAAAGAAAATAAAACTTATAGATTGAAGAACAAATATAACACAAAAATGCAGTGGAATGATATGTTCTGGTACGCTTTAAAACCTCTTATTGTACGACTATAGACAAGCATTTACCGTACAATCCTGCTAGCGAAAGAAAAGACCGGTTATAAATAGTTTAACTAACCCAGAGACCTTTTAAAAGTCAATATCACCAAGCTATCATGCCTAACACAAAAACCATGACTCACTGAAGAATTTTAAATGAAAATAGAAAGGTTATAAACAGTTTGGCCAATCCATGAATCTTCATAAAAGTAAATCTACAAAGCTATCAAGCCAAACACAAAAACCATGGAAGATTGAAATCGAACTATTCATCAATGCAAATACCAAGGATCAAAACATATAAGACCGATGTACAAGGTAACTCAGAAAAGTGAACTCATGGATTTCGGTACTCCCGTAGTATGTGTACCAGGTTAGGGTTAGGCGATAATTTTATTCTGATTTTCTTTGTTTTAGTTCTATTACGAGTTCGAGGACTGTCTGTGTTAGCCAGGTGAATATAACCCCTACCCCTTTCTGTCCCTTTACACAACTTGATGTAAAGTAGGCGAACAAAATTACATTCCATATTGGTATACATACTTCTGGGGCGCATAAATTTCTTCTATGAAAATTTATTCAACACTTGAACTTGATTATGTATGATTGTACTCATAAATTACATTAATCTAGGACGCCTCGCACAAAATCTCTCTAGAATATGTTCCGAATAACCTGGGTTATGTTTTTTGGGTTACCTTGTGTATTTTCATTAAATGCTGAATTTAGCTTAAAAGTACCAATTCACACAAATGCTATGTGATTATCACCTTGCTGGTCTTGAGAGCTATTTTCTATATTTTCTTGTGACCTTGTATTGGTCTGTACCAAAGAGCTTGGTTTGGGTGGTTTTACTGGCTTATAGTACGTATTTCCGTATTGAGGTATATTCTGAGATGAAAATTGTTGTTGGTTTGGTCCCGGGATATGGGTGCCAAGCTGTTGTGAATGGTTTTGATGGGTTTCTGTTATGTAACTGGATAATGGAGAATTTCTTTGCATGGTCTGACTAGAATTAATGGTCTTTATGGGCATGGCTCTTCTTTCGTCTTGTTGAATTTCGGTAGTCTCAGATTGGTATTCTTGTGCGAATTGGTTGAAGCTCTGGTCGGAATGGAACGACTGTGTTGGTGACTGGTTCAACTGAAATGGCTTCTGGTTGACAAATGGTCTTGATTGGTCTTCATGGTTTCTATCTTTCATACGATGGTAAAGTTGGCGACCAGGAGATTGGTTGACTTGGTAAGCCCCGTGGTAATTCTGGTCCAATACTTGTTGACTTGAAAGTTGACTATGGATATTTTGCTGCAAAGGGACATTCATTGTAGGTATCATGTCACTGGTTTGAACCAATCTACCTGCAACACCATGCTGTCCCATGAATAACTGTGGAGGGATGATGGTAGTTTGCATGTGGGATGTTGAAGTTTGCTTTTGGTATCTGGTGTTTTGTTGTGGTGGTTGACTATGTTCAATGGTTTTTTTGTCTTCATAAACCGAACCATGGTTTTGCTGTGTTGATTTAGATCTTCTTGTATATTGAAACAAATCTACCCTTGGTTGGTTTTGATTAGAGACAGCTCTATGGTTAGTTTGATCCAAAATATAGTTACCAGATATTGGTATCGGCCTCACAGGAGGACCAGAAGCAAAATGGTTCTCAATACTCTCTTTAGGTGATGATTCACTACCATCTTGTTGCGGTGAGACATTTTCATGAATGTACCATGTCTTACCATGATTACCAGTTTCTAACTGGTAACTCACATGTGAACCCCCAGAACCAGTAAAAGATTGGTTGCTTGACACTCTTTTTATCGGTGTTTTCAATTTCTCTTTCTCAAATTTTAAATTGTTTTTTTGATCTTTTTGATGAGATGATTTATTCGAACCGACACTGCTATGGCTCGCATACGAACTGGTCCGTGAATGAATATTTTCTCCACTTTGCCTTCGTGGACTGGTTACAAATTCTGGGTGCTTGTAGGGAGGTGGTAATGAACCATCTTGTGATAAGCTATACTTATGAGAAACCTCTTGCTGTTTGTGCGGACTTACAGAACTGTCTAGAGACTTGCTGTACATGTGAGACGTCTCTTTAAGTCTGTCGAATGTTTGAATCGGCTTGCCCATCTGTGTAGCTTTAGCTCCTTCGTGTGGTGAAGTCTGAACTAGTTCTTGGGGAGTTTTGCGGAATTCAGAGTGAACATAATTTGCAACTTTGCTATAAGTTGACCGTCCCTCATGAAGCACTGCAGCGGTAGACACCTTAATGCTAGATTCAATTGTGCCAATTGGAAAGGATTTCAATGTATTTTGGGTATCAGTAGAAACTGGAAGATTGAGTTTTTCATTATTATTCGGATCCCTATTACCAATGTCCTTGAAATGAGCTTGACTATCCTGTCCAGACTCACTAAGGTCACTTGTAGATAGTCTCGTTAATTTATCCACAATATGTGAATATTCAAAAGGGTTTGATCGAACTGGTAACCCACGAGCTACGCTTGGTGCTGGTACGTATGAATGCTGATTCGAACTTTCACCTTTGAACCTTGATCCCTCAAGTGACTTGACTGGAAAAACTCGTTTAGCTTTAGGATGAACAATACTTGTTGGAGCGGAAAATGTTACATTTGTGTCATCAGGGGGCAGTATTGGCACAAAATGAGCTAAATTTTTTTCATTTTCTGTAGAATTCGTCGATAAATGGTAGATATCTTGATTTGTACTGGTGCTTGGATTGCTTTCATGATTTGCCACTATTTCCTCGACCGTCATATCATTCCTTTTCGATTCTGTCGAGTTATCAGCGATATTTGAATTCTGCGATGTTCTTAGATCAAAATCTTGGGTTACAAATCCTTGTGATGTCGTACTGTCAGTGTTTCTATAAAACATCGGACTTTTCTGAGGACTTCTGGGGACCTTAATTTCCAAAGATGGTCTGGCTAATTTTGGTGAACCAGAATTATGAAATTGGAATCTTTTTGACCTTTGAAGAGAGTGGGAAGATGATTGGGCATTGCTGATTGTTCTGTTTTCTGCTAAATTAGTAGCAATTGTGATGTCGCTATGAATTGTTTGGTTTTGGTGACTAGGGCTTTTTGCTAGAGGGTCTGGGCTATCTATGTTGCCTCGACTCTGGTTTTTAAGTTTTACGGGGATGTGATGTGGTAAGATAGGCTTTGGCGCAAAAATTCTCTCACTGGAGGGCAGGTTAGTGAAATTTTTAGGCATTTCTGAATTCAAATTTGAAACATCATTCTGTAATTGGTTGGTTTCTCTTTGTAAAACTGATTTTGCTTTATGCTCTGTTGGTTTTGTCATGTGATCAGGAAGTTCAAGATGTGATGATGAATCAAGACTGCTTTGAGACTTGAACGAAGCTTCAAAATCGAGAGCAATTGATCTGCGACTGCTTGGTGGGAGACCTCTAGTGATGATGTGTGACAACGGTATCATTTTCGAAGCCTAAAAATGACAAGAATAGCTATTACAGTGGAGGTTACTTGAAGACCAGCATGTCAGTGCATTGGCATTTTGTTCCTAAGATTTACATATTTATCCTGGGGGAGAGGAAAGGAATAAGACGGCTTAATCATATGGCAAACCATGGCCGCTCGTCCGGTTACCAATCCATGTCGGCTTTGGATTAGTTAGCCAGATATGTTGTTTTCAGATGCATGGATTTGATGGTGGAGGAAGCCGTTATCAACCACATTATGTGAAGAGGTTTGAAATTGGGCTCTGACATTAAAAAAGGTTGAGAACCACCGGTTTGGAGGTAATGCATAATGAAGGTAACAAATATCTCATAAAAAAGGTTCAGAGCAGATCCATGAACACTTGTCAGAGTATATACCTTGAATTTTTAAGGGTTAAACTTTGTTCACTATTCTATAAACTGCCCTGTAACATTGATGTGAAAATATACAAAAATAACATTCACCTGACTACTCACAACTCTTCTATTTTCATTTGTATTCTGTTGAATTTCATTTTCAGGGGAATTTTCATTCGTTGCATTACCTGTGATGGCATTGGCATACAAATTATTGGCAACTTAATAGTGGCAACTAATTATTATATTACATATAGAGAGAAGTGGAAAGATGCTATTTCACACTCCAACACATACAAGTTTTTACGCTTCAGAAGTGTGTGTACCAATATATGGTTTTTACTAATTTTGTTTGCCTACTTTACATCAAGTTGTGTAAACGGACTGAAACCTATGGGCAGGGGGTATATTCACTTTGCTAACACAGACATTCCCAAACTCGTAATAGAACTAAAATAAGGAAAATCTGGATAAAATTATGGTCTAACCCTGACCTGGTACACATACTACAGGAGTACCTAATTTTAGAACATTTGGTTGGTTACGGTCAAAATTACATGAATTTCAGTTCATTACTGTTAAACATTTATTTTCTGAAGAAATGTGTGAACAACATTGATTATAGAATTAAAGTAGTAAAATTGTGATGTAATAAATGTAATTCCATCCAGTTCTTCAAATCGCTGAATACTCCACTCACCAAAGAAGGCTTCCAAAAGTTTTAAAGTTGTTTCAATATTGCCATGGTAATCAGTTGAACAATGAAGCATAACATTTTCTTCACTGATCTGTGAAATGTTGAATCCTAAAAATAAATAAAAAAGTAGAAACATAACTCATGACAATTTCAATTCAAGGAGGGAAAGATAATTTTGTATCAGATAGAAGGAAAATTAATTTCTTATTCATATGTGATTAGTTACACACATCCCAGTGTGGAGGAACTGGGAGAAATAATGAGCATAGTTCTAGAGCAGGGGTCGGCAACCCCTGGCACGCGTGCCAATTGTGGCACGCGAGAGGATTTCTCGTGGCACGCCAAGCGATTTGAGCCATATTCAGATATTTATTTTCGTAGTGCGACAAACATTCTGCAATTGAACAAAAAAAAACAAATCGACAAATTTATTGAAAAAACATGCAATATTTAACTGCAATCGACAAGAGGCCGAAATCTGTACCCAAAATCGATGTAGATAAGCGTGTGCAGTCGATCATCCCCCTCCTTTCAAATTTTCGTAAAACTGAAAAAGTCGCAAATACTGCGTGCGATTGCTTTTTGCTGAAAATTTCTGATTGTTTTTATCAGCGTGATGTGTTATTTAGGCCGTAAACACTTTTAGTTGGTGTTTATTCTCTCTGAATCACAACAATTATTTCACGACAACGATAATAATTACTTTATTTTTGCCCAGAATTGAAATGCGCTGAGGGTTATAATACAATCAATCGAAACTAAATACAATTAGTCATTAGGCATGTTTATCTCATATTTTTACATCGAAAGATTGAGTGGTATTTCAGGACGTAACCGCGAGTTACGCTGGACACAAAATTATATCAATATAGAAGAAAGTTTCAGATTCTCTGTCATGAAATGAATGTTTTACTGGACAGAAAAGTTGGTTTACGCTGAAAGACTCAGCATTTTTTATGAGCGCGTAATCGCGGCGACTGTTTCAAAAGGGAATGGAAGATGGCGGACACCGAAATGAGAATATGTACCAGGTTTGGGTTGAGGCATTATTTTATTCCAATTTTCCTTATTTCAGTTCTATTACGAGTTTGGGAACTAGCCAATTGACTCCCGTAGTATTTGTACCTGAAATTATAGCCTAACCCCAACCTGGAACACACACTACAATCCGGTGTCCGCCATCGTGGTGCACATACTACGGGAGTACCAAAATAAATTTTCTCTTCTTTAGTATTTATCGCGATCTCATTGTTTCTGGCTACAAAACTAATCACGAGTGGCCTTAATACCTATTACTTCAGTCGTGCAAAGGCCGGTTGGACGTCGAAATGCCGTGTGCCGAAATCTCTCGTAAGCTAGTTTCCATGCACGTTATCCAATAAAATGAATTTATTTCTCATCCGCTTACTATTCAAATCAGGTAGTTGGCTACGCAAGTCGCAAACCATACACATGAAAATGTTTGGCACGCGAAGGTGCTCATTATTTATAAACTGGCACGCCAAGTTTAAAAGGTTGCCGACCCCTGTTCTAGAGCATGAGTTGGCAAGGCTTTTGGGCCAGGGGCCAAAAATTTTGCCCACCTAGAGTGGTGGGCCATGTGGGTGTGACGTGAAAAGTTACAATCTATGAACAATATTTACAGTGTTACAAAAGCATTAAGTGGAAAATAATAAGCCTCGTGCCAAAACTAAATCAACTAATTTTGTGTTTTTTTTTCAGCTAAAATATCATAATTTGGTTTTAGTTTGGTTGTGCATTAGGCGGGCCAGATCGAAATACCAAACGAACCAGATTTGGCTCGCAAGCCGCAGTTTGCCAATGTCAGGTTTAGAGTCAAGGATCTTACGATAGTGTGCCAAGCCTGCTGCTATTACTGTTGACTTTTGAACATAATGATATCTCATTCAGATTCACCTTCTTTGAGATGACAACTATTTATATCCAATTTCTTTACTCACAAAAATTCCTGAGTAAAACTCTGAGATATCATAAAATATTAAGGGCAAAAAACAATACAATCTGTAGGTTTGCAAGCAGCACTTCAACTTCTATATCAGATCAAGGCGAAATTCAGTCAGACTAATAACTCTATGATACTCAACAAATTAAAATATAAACCATACAAAAAATATGACATCAGTTGACTTACCAAGACCAGACAGTACTTCAGAGCAACCTTCCATTCGCCAAGTGTTTTGTTGAATAATTAACGTCATTTGAGGAGCATTTTCATACCCATTGCTGTCATTTCTTTTTTCTGTGTATTCATCCAAGCAATTGGAAATGGACTCTTTCAGTATATAACCAACAGAAGGTGAAAGAAATAACCGGTTTATTCCGGTTATTACTGGTACAGGCGGCAGTTGAAGATAAGAAATCAATTCTGATTTGATGTTCTAAAAATAAAAGAGATGGATGATTTCAAAAAGCTGTTTTTTCATCTCGGAGAAAATGAAAATAAATGTTATGGTTTAATACGATTGAAGCAATAACCACAAATGGTCTGAAAACCTGCTTTTTGAGACACAACTAGTTTCTTCTCCAACTGGACAGTTTTGTACCCAAATGTAGGGATACATCTAGGGCAGGGCTAATCCAAGTCTTTTTTAAACCACAAGAGGCCGCTGTCTGAGATTAGAATATTCTCTATTTTGAACTGTCTTTTTTGTTTATTTAATAATTTTCTTAGAATTGCAATTTTGTTAGTTTTGTTAGTGCTCAAGACACGATCATGCACACTAATTAAGGATATTCCTATCTCCGAGCAACATTACAGGTAACCACTGAAACATCATGATATAAACTATGAACTTAACACTCAAATTACCGGTATATAGATTTATTGCAATGCACTACAACCCAGTAAATTCCGGTTTAAACAAGATAAATCCAGATAATACTCACCAACACATCTTGTTTTATATCAGCCTTTGGAAAGAAGACAGCTTCAGGTATTCCACTAGTACATTGTGTCAACTCAAAACCAACAGCTGAGAAAAGTTCTCTCCACCCAGTAACATTGTGGACTTTCTTACTGATGCTGGCCTGAAGATAAAAATGAACCAAGTTTAGGTGAGAGTTAGAGCAGGAGTGAGCAAGTTTTTTAGACGCCAGAAATATTGCCCATTTAAACAGGCGGGCCATGTCAGTGTGACGCAAAACTTACATTACTACTTACAAGTAGAAAACAATAAGCCTCGTGACGAAACTAAATTTAATCGCAATCTTAACAAATTCCTTGACCTAGGTATTTTTAGCTAAAATATCAACATTTGGTTTTAGTTTGGTTGTAGAAGAATCAGGCGAGCCAGATTGAATTACCCAACGGGTCGGATTTGGCCACGGGCGTAGTTTGCTTATCAGGCCTAGAGGAATTTAATTGCAAGCAAAATCTATATTCCAGTCCCACCCACATTAAGGAAATGGGCTAAGAATACTTAACCAGAAGAATACAGTTTTCCCAAATGAATAACTCCCTTCCCATGGCTATGACTGCTGAGTTGTGTATGGAAAATATGTGAAAATATCTTAAACAAGACTGATGGAATCAATGGAAAAGGGCAAAACAGTGAAAAAATGAGTCTATCAATAGTACCTTCATGAACGTGAAAAAAAATCTGGCTTTTATTATATATATACATGATAGATAAGCATTTGCAGTCAAATCAGCGCATAAATGCCGTGAAGGCAGAGGACTTCCAATGATCAAATCTGACAGTAATTTTTTGAAGGGACGCTTACCTTTTCAGTAAAAATAAAGTCCTAATATACAAGTTTTCAATACTTACTTAAACCATTAGGACACTCACTAGTCGAAACACATATTTAGGAATTTTCATTTAACAATATTATAAAAGACAATTTCTATGCTTTTGAATAGAGTGCAAAAAATCACTCTTTATAAATAAACAATTCTCATAAAATCTGAAAATAGTATAGTACCTGTGCTGCATACATTGGTACTGAAGTATTCGATCCAGAATCCATTCTCTCCAGAGATTTATCGATCAGATGTAGCACAAGTTTGAGTGCATCGTGGAAGCGACCAGGATCAGATTTTATTAGGAGACCAAGAGAGTAGAAGAGTGGTAAATTGTTGGGGTCAAGGGTCACATCTCGTCCAATCAAAACAAATCCTGCCCAATAAGAAGGATGTTCGAATTGTTTATTCATCCGTATAAGATCCAGAGATTGGGTGAGCGCAACGGACGCTGGTAATCCAGACATTAAACGACTGTAAAACGATTGTGTTAGGATTTTACAAACAGTTTCTGGAACTGGCCATAGAGGGAGCAAAAGAGTTTGTACTCCAGAACATAATAAACTTCGAACCATTGTCAAGATTCGTATAAGTTTGGAGTCTGCAGAAAATGAGCTTCCGTTCTCCGTAATGATTTCTGAATCTTGTAAATGAGCTGATCCAAAAACTGCTAATTTCACATGAGAAAGATCAAATTTGATGAAATCACCGAGTGTCAATGACCTTTGTGCAATTTCCTCAGAAGTCAAGGTCATTTGTGGTTTCTCAAGGTCAAATACATCCTTTTGCTCAATTCCAACAGTTTCTCTACCAATACCGCTATCGGCATTACTGACGTCACTCGGCACATTCTCAGCTTTTGTTACTTTTTCATCAACCGAACTTAAATATATTCCATAAGGTGGCGCCATAGAAAAGCTACAAGCTAGATGAAAAAGTTCAGAGCTCCGCAGGTTATCTAAAACTCTTTCTTTTATTGCATATTTCCCAGTTAGTGGCTCGATCTTTAGAAGCGAACCAACCATGGTTGCTTCATCCTCAGATGCTTGTGATTGCGTAACGTCCACGATGTCATTGATAATTGGGTTTCCAATAACAACGGCCCTTGTTAACTGACCTGTGACGATTGACCCCTTTCTGAAATCTTCTGCTAAAAGATCAGCCGCGGAAGTCACGACACGTAAATTGAATTGTTGAGATAAATATGACTCAGTGGAGCGTTTTTTCAACAAGGCAAAAGGTACAGAGACCAATTCTCCTTCTAAAACCAGAATAAGGTTCTTGATTGGTTCTTGGGAAGCGTATTTTTGAATTTTCTGTTGCATACCGCCGATTAAAAGCTCATGAAGTGCAAAAATAGGAGGTTTCTTAGACAGGGAAGATTTTTCCTGACCAAGTAGATTTAGAGAACTCAAGTTTTCGGTATAATGCATTGAAGCTTGTGATGAAATCAGTCTGTGATACATTTTAAATGTTTCATCCTCGCTGTTCCCCAACTCAAAATCTTTTTTAGAACTATCTTCTTCATTTACATTATTTGATGACCTATGAACTCCATTTTCTCCACTAGAGGGATCCTCAGGCTCTACAGAAGGTGATTCTAAGCCAAGAGAATCTCTAAGTTCTGATATAAGATGACTAAGCAAATTCAAAGTACGACTAAGGGAATTTTCGTCACTTTCGTTAACTTCATGATGATGAAAAAAGATTGGCTGTTGCATGAACCCACAGAGGCCCTCTTGTGGTGTTACTACCCAAGTTAAAATATTTCCCGCGTTGATAGCGTAATACAAAATAACAGAATCTTCTTTTGCAGAATACTGTACAAGTTTTTCTGTCAGATTTTCTGGTTGAATGATTTCCTGTTTTTCTTGTCTTTTTTGAGCGACAATTTCAGGAAATTTGTGCAATTTTTCCGCAGACTCTAACGCCATCGAGTGTTGGTTCGTCTTGATGAACATGCATGTCATAGCAGATTGGCAAGTGACCAATTCTTCAAAAATATCAATGCATTGGTTTGGATGGATGGAAATGTTGACTGTATTTCCTGGAAAAAAAAAAGTTTGTTTCTTAGAACTTTAAGATGGGGTCGTATTTGGACATGATGGCCTAGTGCAGTGGTTTTTGAACTTTTTGAGCCGCGCCCCCCTTTGAAAAATTTTACAAACTTTGCCCCCCCCTCTTTTTGCTTTGAAAAAATGCTTTTGTCATGGGCAGGTTGTTATATATTAAGAAGACGATTGAAATTAATTTTTTGTTCTCGAATGAAACCATGGCACCTCTGAGGAAAACGAGTTAGTTTTTATTATAATCATCAGCGACGGGATGCTAAAGATAGAATCAAGAAGTGAATCCGTAGCTGAAAATTTCTTTATTGTAAAATTGGCATTATAAAATACTAAAAATAAAACAGAAAACGCCATGAGTTTTGTTTTGGGGTGAACCGCGACAGATTAAAAACACTTTCTTAGACATTGAAAATCCCATAAATTCCTTGTGCGTGCGGCACACCAGTAGTGTTTTAAAACTGACTTGATATAAATTTTACTCCATGGAATCGCAGACTTAGGAATATCTGTAACGGTGATATCTTAAAATAATCGAGTGGCGGCATTGCGATAGAGCGGAGTAAGAGTTACAGGGACAGCTCATATTGGTGAAATTGGCAAGAATGCAAATCAAAACAATATGTAATCGACATCATTATGGTTGCGGATTACCGTGTTATTTTGGAGTACCGGTGCTTTTATTTTATCGACGCAATTTACCACAATTAAATGAATAAAGCAACTATTTTAAATAAGTATATCGATCATGGATAAAATATTTTATTCAACAGAAAAACCATTACATATCCGTTGAAAAAGTCGGCTCTTTTAACGACTGGCGTAATCTCGAGGACTGACTCAGAAGCCGTACCGCTGGGATTTCGCTTCGATAAATATGTATTTTCCATCTACTAATATACTTTACATGTATTTTAATTGTACTAAATTGAATATACTTTATGGGATATTATACCAGATCTTTCTAATGACAACAACGAGTGCAATATATATAAAAACTAAATATAATCGGGCAGTTGATCACACTTTATTATGTCCGCGGATTGGCGTGGTATTTTAGATAAGTAATGAGTTTATTTTGTCGTGAGTCGCCGCAACCGCGAGTTACCTTGAACACAAATGAATTAAAATCGAGAGATATTTTGAATTATTGTAGTTATTACGAGACAGAAAAATTTATAACACGAAAAAGCCGGTATTTTTAACGAACGCGGAGACCGTTTCAGGAGCCGTTACATGTAAATTTTGTGACCTCTTGCGCCCCCCTGTGAGCATCTCGCGCCCCCCAGTTTAAGAACCACTGGCCTAGTGGAAAAAATAACTGTGTTAGCATTGCAAGTGCACTTCTTTCCCAGAGTTTAAAAAATTAAGTAGACAATGCTACACCAGAAAGATTCTGGTCCTTTGAAAAATAGAAGCTCTGCACATATCAGCAGCCTTTTGTTAACTGACCTGTGACGTTTGACCCCTTTCTCGAATCTTCTGTTAAAAGGTCAGTTGCGAAAGTCATGACTCGCAAATTGAATTGTTGAGTAGAATGCTTTATTATTACCTTATATTTTTTATATTTCCAATCCTCAAAGCTGGGAATACCCTGGCTTCGGACTGGCTACCAATATTCCGATTATCATTGATTTAATTATAATGCGACATTTCAGATGATACGCGATTCGAATCTACTTCCATCATTCTATTTACCTAAAACTCCAGAGTTCCAGAATTCCTTCATCAATATATTCATTGCTTCCTCAAGATGAATCTGACAGTTGTTCAAATCTCCACAAACATACTCTGCCAATGCTAAATCAAGTATGACGCGACCTTCATCCTCCTGGTAAAAATTGATAGAATATAAAGAATATAAAATATAAGAGAAATGAGTATTTGTGTTGGAAGTGTGGAATTAAGGGTTAAAGCACGGGTGAGCAAGGTTTTTGAACTCGTGGTCAAAAATGTTGCCTACCTAGACCTGGCGGGCCATGTGAGTGTAACGTAAAAAGTTACATTGTATGAACAATATTTACAGTGTTACAGAAGCAAAAGTGAAAAACAATAAGACGTGTGCCATTGGTTGTGGCAGCATCAGATAGGCCAGTGGCTACTTCCGCAGAGTCTTGTTCAGAGCAACTAGCATAGAATGTCGTTTAAAAACTATTTTGATATGAAATGCCTCACCTATCCTTTTCCATGGTTGGGAATGAAATCATATATTTATGGGCCTTCTAGAAGTGTGTGTACCAACATACTAACTAATTTTGTTTGCCTATTTTACATTAACTCGTGTAAATGGACTGAAACCTATAGAAAGGGGGTACATTTACTTGGCTAACACAGACAGTCCCCGAACTTGTATTAAAACTAAAATAAGGAAAATCGGAATAAAGTTATGGCCGAACTCTAACTTGGTACACATACTACGGGAGTACCTTCTTATGTGATATGATATTATAAGGCAGGATACAAAGGACAGGAATATCAGTCTTTCTTCAGAGCAGACAATGTGAATAAGGATTAACTTCAGGTGGAAGATGCAAATTAATATGAGCAAATTTTTGGTGTAAAAATCAACACACCTTCATTCCCAATTCTCTGGCAAGCAGTAATGCCTGTTGAAGAAGCAGTGTAGCTCTTTGGTGGTTTGAGCCAAGTCTTAACACGTTTCGTGCGACCCCTCGCAGTGCGGTTAACTTTGCCAGCGGGTCGTTTAAGTTATCAGCAATGAAAAGGTGTTGTTCTTGGTGCTTTATTGCCATCAGGTGGTCATGTACTGCTTCATATACTGCACCGAGATTACCATGTGCTCGACCTTGGCATGGAACGCTGTTGGCATCAAGGGCGATTTGAAGATCAAGTTGATGAAATACAAGAGACCTGAAAGAGAGATTGATACAGTATTTCAAAGTAAGGCTGAGAATTGAAAGTTGATCATTCTAAGTTGAGAGTCATCCAATATATCAAGTCCATGTATTTGAAACAAAAAACTGGCTAAGACTGGCACAAACCGGACTGGTAACCGAACGAGATGGTGACCGTACATTTGAACCCACGTACATTTGAACCCATGTCTATATCCGCGGGTCCAATCAATATGCGGGTGCTGAAACCCATGGGTCAGGGTTAGTATGGGTTCAACTATCCGTACAACAAAAAAATTTCCAAAGGTGCAATAGTATGCAGGTGCAATTGTCATGGGTTCAAATGTACGTGGGTTCAAATGTAATGGAACCGAACGAGATACCTTATCTTATTGTCTTTCGTCCCTCTGCATAAAATATTAAGATCATATCGAAGTTAATGTATGGATTTAGAGATATGCTTGCCCGTGTTGGCTCTCAGGGGCTAGCTATTTAATCCTATACCCGACATGAACTGCTAGCCAGACAAGGTGTAGTGGTTCGGCAGATGATCAAGCTGATTTTCAAACATTACTCTCACCAAGGACACATTCTATTCTATATTACATAGATCCACAGGAGCCCAATGCTAGAACCCCAAGCCAACTCATATGGTAACAAAACATCCAAAAGAATCAGGCTCTATATTTCGAAATGCTGAATATTCTTTTCACAGGCTTCAATGAGACATGGACTATCAGGAAAATAACTCAAAACTATAAGAGGAACAAAGATTAAATAGATATGACTTAGACATCCTGTTAGCTCTCCCAGAAGATAAATTTAAATCTTGTTCAATCCAATACTTACTTTTTATATTGCTTTAACATCAAGTAAACACTTCCTAGTCCACATGCAGCGTCGCCTCGAATATGAGCAAATTTTTCTGAGAATTTCATTTGAAGTTTCAAGCAAGAAAGAGCGTTTTCGAAATCAGCCAGAATTGTGAAAATATATCCCATTTCGCCATAAGATTCTGCCAGTAATTCCACATTGCCGAGATCTTGGCAAGATTTAATTCGAAGTTGACAATATTTAAACGCCTCTTGCGGATTGTTAGTAAGTTTATGGGCACTACATAGTCCACGATAGACTCGTTCTAACAGGGCTGATTGTTTCAACTCCACAGCACACTCTAGTGATTCTTCGAAGAGTGTGATTGCCTCATTATAGTTCCCCAAAGCTTCGTAACAGTCCGCAATGTTACACAAGACTCTGCCTTTTTCAGAATTCGGGCTTTCCATCTTTTCAACGACTAAAAGTTGGCGCTCGAAAAAGTCTATAGCTTTTTCATAATCTTGCATATTTATCGATGTGATGCCAATGTTCCCAAGCGCAGTTGATTGTAAATTCAAATCGTTCATTTGTTTCGCAACGTAACACTGATTTTCGTAACACTTGGAAGCGCCAGAGAACTCTCCAAGTGAGGTTAATACTGTCCCCAAGTGTCCGTGAGCTCGAAATTCACTTTTCGCATCCTTTGATTGTTGATAAATTTGTAATTCCTCAGAATGTAACTCGAGTGCTTTTTGGAAATCTCCCATGGCACGGTACGCAGAACCTAAAGCAGCACAAGCCTGCGCTCGCAGGAGCGTATCATCTCCTTGTTGCGCAAGCTCATATTGCTGCTGATAATATTTTAAGGCTTCTACAGGCTGTTTGGAGCTGACGAAAATATCTCCCAGATTTCCAAGAGCTTTGAAGACACCCCTCGCACTTTGCAGTTGATTGGAGAGCGCTAAAAACGAGTTCTGACACTCGAGGGCTTTTGTAGTATCTCCGTAAGATTTCCAAGCGAGGCCTAAATTGCAGTATGCTCTTGCAGCACTTATCATATCTTCAATATCCAGCGATATCTTGAGACTTTTTTCGTATGAGTTGATGGCATTAGCATAATCTCGCAATGAAAAATATGCAAAACCGACATTGTAAAATGCCTTTGCAACTCCGACTGGTTTATCAATTCCGTTATTTTCCGTTATAAAAAGGTATTTGTTGTAAATATCGATTGCTGATCTGTATTCTTTCCTCGAGCTGTGGAAGTTGGCGAGATTCATGTAAGCTCGACTTTCATTTGTGATGTCCCCAATATCAGATGAGAGTTTGGCCTGACAACTGTGAAAAGAAAAATTCAAGTTTTTGTGCGATGCTTGCTTGAAATGAGATTTGGACAAGTAGACTTAAAACATCCAACATTAATGTGTGGAGAATCTGATAAATTATAACAACAAACATATTGATTTCTCGGCGCTCTCGGCTTTGGCGCTTCTGGAGCGCCAAAAATTTTAATTACAAAGACTTCAGCATACGAAAGCCTTCTTTAACCTTCTTTAGGGTCGCTTGGTTAATTAACCTAATTATTGAACCCTTCTACCGAGAATTCGAAATTTTGATTCTAATTCGGGTTAGTTTAAAAATACGATTCCAGCTTTGACTCCAATGAAAGCATGCTGAATGGCTTTAAAACTTTCATTAAGACAATAAACTTCAGCAATTCCTTAAATGTCACGGAGTGACATTTCACACATTCAATCAATTTAACTGTATCAAGGTCTTGGTGGTTTGCTATTTTTAGAATGCCAATTGGTAGCAGTATCACTGATGTATTTACCATATTTCACTTTTCACTTTCAACCAAATATTTTTTAAACGACGAGACAAAACAAGTGATGTCACGGAGTGACAAAAAGTTGAATGCATAAAATGACTGCGATTTATCAACCAAATTTCGTCAAAAGCTTCATGACATATCAATTATAATAACTTGTCTCTGTATTCTAGAGATATTAATCTCTACATTTATGCAAAATTTATTGTACAACAAACATTTTTCAGGAAGCAGCCCAATTATACGGCCCAACTAGTAGCATGTCACTTCGTGACGTCACGGAGTGACAAAAATTCCTTATCAATAAAATGGTATTAAGAATGTTGAACAATTAGTTGTATTAGGTCAAAATTGGTTATTTGTTTGAAATTACAAAACATTTGAACAAAAAATTGGGAAACATGATATTTTTTTGTCGTTCTGCTTGTGTCTCCCTCATATTAATATGCTAAGCGAGTGCACTAACTTTAATAATTTATTGTTAAGTAAAAAGCTATGTTGCACAGACAACATGAAACAGACATGACTACTCCACTCCTATATATCTGGAATCTTATTGCAGTGACTTGACAAAGAATGGACAATTCAAAATACAGAATCTGGAGGATCCGTTAATGCAATTCAGTTTAAGAATCTTTGCACCATGCGACGATTTTTGTTATTTGGATATCTAATTTATTAACCATAGAAAAGTATTTTCTTCTGCGTAGTACTTGCATCTGCTTGCAAAGCACACATAGAAGCAGTAGGCCCCAAACACAGTATTCTTAGTCTGCATCAAGAAGACAGTGATAAATATGTTCTTGCGAAAACTCGTTATTGCATCATTTTTGCTTTTTCCAGCTTTATGATATAATTGTCACGTAAAAATAATCATTGCTGACAATGAGTGACGCACTGGCGTTTTCTAATTGGAAGTATCTTCAATTTTTGACAAAACGCATCATATTTCTTTTACATTTCACGATATTTTTAGCATCCTATGAGTTAACCCGATAAAAGGATATAAACCAAAATCCAGATGTCGATATTAAAACTTGAGATTTAATATTGTTTGTGAATTTTTTGAATTCACGTACGCCTTTTACAAAATGTCGAATTATATTGCAAAACAATGCATTTTGCCATATTTTCTCTGCCATTCCAACAGATTCTATATTTTTTCAACTGTAGTCCACAATAAGTTCGTTCATATTGTTCAAAACCGGCACATGTTAGGTCAAATATTTTGGTCATCGATAGTTTTAAAAAAGTTGCCATTGCCATTCAATCATGTCATTCAAGTTTCATTGTGGGTAAGATCCAAAGTAAGTAGAGGGCAAAGCTAAAGAATTTGCAGTCCAAACCCAATATTATGGTACTTCGCGTACAGAAAAATAATATTTTCAAAAAATGGCTACTTATGTCACTCCGTGACGTCACGGAGTTGCGAGATCTCTTGCAGTGCTGCGAAAGAACAACAAGCAACTATCAACTGCCAAATTGGTAAATTATTGGGCCCTACCCCCAAAGTGACGCCTCAGTTTTTGAGGCAAATAGTTATTGAAAATATATCAGATAATTAAAATAAAGTTGAAAAATTGTCAACGGAGTGACGCGTCACAAAGTGACAACACAAGGCAAATTCCCATCAGCTCTGTTTAGCCCAGTGTTGCCAATAGTGCACAGTGCAATAATTTATATTAAGCCAGATAATCAGAGGTAAAACTTAACAACAATACTTGGGTTTGAACAAATACATTTTAAGGTAACATAAATAGCAATGAGAGTTTATGTTACAAAACTGAAGAAAATTAGGCAGAAATCAATCAATTATCCCGCTGAAGAAAAACAATTATTTTGAGCCGTAAATGTACCTTCTCATGCGATTTTAAAAACTTCAAGATATGTCCTACAGTTTCTGCAGTTTAATATTTCAATTAGGCAAGATATAATTTTTATCAAATTTTCAACTAATTTATGGAATTGCTGCTGAACATACCTGTGGTGATAGAAAGCTTGGTAGCCATTAGTATTATTGGTATTATTACAACTCATTTGGTATTATATCATATTTATTACTTATCAGTGCCAAGCCCCTCAAAATAATGAAAACTAAATACTGGGCACCCCAGAAGTTTGTGTACCAATATGGAGGTAACTAGTTTTGTTTGCCTACTTTACATCAAGTTGTATAAAGGGACTGAAACCTATTGGCAGTGTGTATATTCACTTTTTTAACACAGACAGTCCCCGAACTTGAAATGGAACTAAAATGAGAAAAATCGGAATAAAATTATGCCTTAACCCTAACCTGGTACACACACTACAAGAGTACCAAATACTGAATACTATATTACTAAATATACCTGTAATGAGAAAATGCTTTTTCATCATTATTCAATGCTTGGTATGCGACAGCAAGATTCCCATGTGTTGTACATTCTGATGATTTATCTTTCGATGAACTGGAGATTTCTAATTCCTTGAGATGATGTTGGATTGCCTGTTGATGAGGAAATAAGGTTGGATACAACAATTATGAAAAAGGAAAATAAGATCTGCACTGCAGTACAGATTAGACGAGGTAACAGCTTGTGAACTCGTTTGCTAAAAAAACTTATACAAACTGTTAAAATGCTCTGAAAGGTGACGTAGTGTGCTCTTCAGCAAACATAATATATTCTTTTTATCTCGCTTGTTTTTACTACAGCGCTCATAGTTAAGCACATAGTTTTTTTCACGCCCTATGATAAGAACAAAACACACACCAAGTATATCTTGCGACAATTAACGGTTGCGGCCAAAATTAGAGGTTTAAAGTGTCTTGATATATATATAACCCCCCATGCATGCAGAGCTCTATCTGAAACCCAAATTGAGAAGCATTGAAATTTAACTACTGTTTGTGTATGATTGTACCCAAAAGTTCCAAGGACACTTTGTATAAAAGCTATGTTTTCTCTGGAATATGTTCCGTGTGATATCGGTCATTATGGTCACCCTGAAAATTGCCGGAACAAGCAATATTGGACTCACAGCAAAGCCTTACAAAATAGCAAATTTTTGTTAAATCACTTTCCATTAAAAAACATGATGGCGACATGATTATGCCAGGGACAAACTATTAGTTATTGCATGTGAATAACACCACGAATCTCAATGAATGCAAAGAGGTTAAAAAAAATCCGAATTTTATTCCTAAAAATTACCTGTTCATACATTCCCATAGCACTGTATGCATTTCCTATATTTCCATGTGCACGACCCTGTGACGAAAGGTCACGAAATTCAAGACTTAACTCAAGATTGCGAGCCTGAAGTTTCAGAGCCATTTCGTAATCCCCAATCTGGAATAATATTCAATGTTAACTCATACATAGTCAAGATTTTAACAATCTGTTGCATGAACTGCATTCTCAACAGCCAATGTGGATATGGGATTAGCCAGTTTTTTTTTTTTTTTTCCAAGCAGGACTTGATGGTGGAGGAAGCTGTAACCAACCTGTGATTACGTGAAACACCCTACGGTGGCGAGGAGTCCAGCAATCCTCTTGCTCATAACTATTCTTGCATGGGATTCGAACCTGCGAACCCGAGCAAGGTAATCTAGAAGGTTCCATTACATTTGAACCCACGTACATTTGAACCCATGACAATTGCACCTGTATGCTATTGCACCTATGGAATTTTTTTTGTTTCACGGATAGTTAAACCCATACTAACCCTAACCCATGGGTTTTAGCACCCGCATATAGATTGAACCCGTGGATATACGCATTGGTTCAAATGTACGTGGGTTCAAATGTACGGTCACCAATCTAGAAGCATGTGGCGAGCGTATTTTTAGTGCTCAGCACGTTGTGCCAAAGTTTTTGTAGTCCAGATTCAAGTAGAGAACTGGAGTCCAGTTTTGTTCGAACCTAAATGAGGGAGCCAACCTTTTTCTAAACTATCTGGAGTTCGTACTTAGATATAATTTTGTACGACTCCACAGCTTAAGGCTACAGGTAAAAAAAACTGAAATTGTGCATGCCTATATAAAAACGAAGAAACTATTTTCCAAGTATAGATTTAAAATTTTGCTACAGCTTGTTTGATAAGGAAGTGCTACCTGATGGTGTATGACTCCCAGATTGGCACAAGCCTTTGCTTCCATAGACTGGTTATTACCGGATAAAGCCAGTTCCAACAGCCTTTCATAGGATAATTGAGCTTTCTGCAGATCACCTAAAATATAGAAAGAGATTTATAGGAAAAATTAAGAACAAAAATCATATTAATATAGAAATTATAATTAAGTGTTATTTCTTGGTAGCAAAATGAGAGCCAAATTCCACAAAACTTGCCATAGCATATCTCACTATGGGGAAACTGTGTGAACGTGCTGTGTGAGACTCAAATCAAAAGTCTGTAATAAATATGTGTAAAAGGTGGCAGTTTAGAGTTCACATTACTGCTGCTTGGTTACAACTTCCAGGAAAAAGCATGAGTAACAGTATATTTTGTATCTCATCAGTCTACTATTGGAGTAATGCGTGTCCCAATTTACCTTATATTAGTATTGAGGGATCAGATCACATAAATTTTAATAAACAGTTCAAGGCAGAACAATTATTGTTGCAATTTTTAAATTTTATCGTCCTGAAAATGTCTGTTTGATATCAAATAAAATAAAATTCTCAAGGCATTTCTAATTACGGTAAATACAGATACAGTAATACATTCACAATTCTAGCCCAGCAGCAATGTGTTGGGAGAATTCTCATATTTGAATAACAATAAAAACAGAATAGGATTCTGGATTCAATTTAAATATACCAGAATAGTGCACTAGATGTACAGGTTGTCACTAAAGTCTCTTTACAATTTCAATTTTGTTAAAAAGTCAGTTCTCATTAGGCCTGATTACATGTCCATCAAAACCAGTCCAGCGAACCGGTTCGGTCAACGTGGTCTCGGAGACTACTTAGTGGCCTCGATTACATGTCCAAACCGATAAGCTGAAAACAGTTTTGGAGTTGCCGGATTAAATCAAATAAGTCATGATTTGCAAACACTGCATATATTTTATTTTCAATTAATTCAATACAAATGTTAATTAAAGCATCAAAATTAAATGCACGTTCTTGAAATTCTTTGAAGTTATTTGCAGAATATGATGAGGGAGGGGTCGCTTTCCCGTTGAAATTTGCCCACTATCTGAGAACAAAACGACAAATTTATTGAGGGCATAAAAGATAGACGATTTAGATAATTTTTGGCCGACCATCCAGCGTTCAACGCTGCAGACTACTGGCACCTTACGCCACACGATCCATTCAAAAATCACAGTAGTCCTACAGTTACCAGTAGTCTACTGATAGACTGGCAACCAAATTAAAACAATTACATTTTATCAACCAAACACTTGTGTGAAGTGGGCTCATCATATGTAAACAGAAGCACTTTCATTATTTAATATCGTCCTACTACTGCAACTTTACCGACACTGAAGCTTTGTATTCATGCTGGTATCGGTATGTACAGTAAGGGTACCGGTACCAGGTAGGATGCGGTATGGCTGTATAGTGCAATTCCAAAAGAATTCTCAATGCAAACTGAAGTCGTACTGCGCTCAGTTTATACCAATAAATCTTAAGACATCAAGATTTAATTCTCTGTTTCAAAACAACAACCTATCATGCCAATATGCCGCACCGAGATCCCACCAGTACCGGTATTTTAAATTTGTGTTCAGCAGCGACACAATAGATGCGGAAGATGTTTAAATTAAACTTGCCCTATCTAGCTGAATTTTTATTAGTTTAAAAAAGCAACTCACTTACCAGAGATCAAAAAGAAAACAACTCTCGTACCTCCTTCGATCACGGTGATTCACGATTTCTCGAGTAGCACGGCGAAGCAACTGAGCAAGACCGTTTAGCTCACTTCCAGACCTCCTAAATAGGAGGTCTGATATTCTGGACCGATAGCACGGATTTGAATCGCAGACGAACCACTGAAGCGTGAATATGTGGTCTGCTAGACCGGTTCCAGCGGACATGTAATCAGGCCTAATATATGTTAACCAAAAACCAGGTTTGTAATTTTTAATCAATAATTGTTCAAGTATTTTTACTTCATTTAATACAATTGTGAGGGCTAAAACAATATATGGTATCGATGAATTCCCTTTTGTAATTTTAGAAATTTCCAAGACTATATATAAGAAACTCCTCATACTTATTAATTACCCTTCTCATGAAATAAATAAGAAAAGCCTATCAGGACAGTAAACCTTATGTATCAAACAATGCTGTTCAGCACAATCAAATTCTTTAGAAATTTGGAAGAGAGTAATATATAACATAACGTTCACCTGTATGTCTTGCAATATAACCAAGAGATGAAAGTGTTTGTGATTCAGATTCTTTATCACCAATACTTCGACTTATTTCAATGGATTTTTGAAGACAAGAAATCTCTTCAGGATATCTATAAAAATATGGATTTCATTGAAAAATTTAACTTCATTGTTAAGGAGAGGATTTTCATTGGAAGAGTTTATCTAGTTATTTTTTTAGTTCTGTAACGTTTTGTACCGACATATACCCCATCAGACAAGTTACAAGTAGGAATAAAGGGTCAGATGTCAAATAGGAGTTCGGCATGTTTTCATTGAGGTTTGAGACAGAGTCATATTTTCAAATCCTCCAAAGGCTACTTTAAACAGAGTATTGTTTTTAGGATAGAATTCACATATTCTCTCGAGGAGAGGAAAGTCGAAAACAAGGCTTAATCATAAAACGGACCACAGCCTCTCATCTGGTTACCAGTCAAAGTCGGGTATGGAATTAGTTAGTCAGTTATTGGGTTTTCCAAAGCATGGACTTTATGGTGAAGGAAGCCATGAACGACCAACAGATTATTGAAAAATACGAAAAGTTAAGTTAATTACACTACGGTAATTTAAACATACTTCTGCATTTTATGATATACAGTTGCAAGATCAACCCTGGCTTTTGCCTCCTCTCTTGCTCCATCTTGTGAATCTGAATCAAATTCATCTGTTGTCACTCCCAAACACTCCAATTGCCACTGGAGGGCACTATCAAGGTCACCCAAAGTCAAATATGCAGTAGCAATAAGACCAAGCTGTCGACACCACCCAGTGATGTCCTTCAAGTTGCGTAGAATAGCCGCACTTTGTTTGTGACTCTCTACTGCCAATTGGTGGTCACCTACAGCAGTGTGAACATGTCCGAGTGAACTGAACGCGGATGCCATTGCTCTATCATCCTGAAAAAAAAGAGGCGGATTGCTATGATTGCGTTTATATAAAACATAGCGAACAACAAGTATAATGCATAACCAGGAGAAACCGCTCAAAAATCAACCACATACTTTTTACAAATTGTATATTTCCTGAGTGAATTTATTTATGTGTGGGGGAGATCGTTCCATTCAGCAGATATGTACTGTGTGAAATCTGATTGGGAAATCTGGAACAAAGATGCAAAACAATGATTTGATGAATAAAATAACTCATCGTCAACTGACCACAACCTAATTCATTGAGTCATAAATTCCATTCAAGACTGGACTTGACTCGTGGTTTACGGACTTAGGACAATAATTTCTTTCATGAGCGAATAAGAGGATTGAACAAGACAGATTAAGACAAGACAAGAATTTGTCACATTCAAAAGACACACACCAGCCCCATTCCATTTTTTATTCCATTTACTGTGGTTACCATGGTTACCCCGCCAATCGAGCATAGAGTCGTTCTCTTCCATTACCACAAACGACACAGGAAACACCAGGTCGCCCAAACGTCGTTAAAAGACGGGCTTCTGTTAGTAAATATTGTTCAAAGTTTTTTTCATTATTATATAATTCAATGCTAGACTCCCTCATAGGTGACGCTGCTAGAAAACCGTTACTGGTTTATTGCATCTCCTTTCACGCTGAAATAGAGTATTTTTATTTTACCTCACTGTTTGTACACTTTCGTATTTTTGGTATGTGAGAAAATAAACTACTGACTGACACATACACATGATAATAAAAGCATGTTTTTTATGTGGTTGCAATTGGAACGAACATTCAATCTAGACCAGTGTTTCCCAAACTTTATTCTGCCAGCGCCCCCTTGGACGACGTTTTAACTAGAAAACGCCCCCGTAACAAAAAAGTCGAAGCAACTTTATTCTCTATTTATCATTAGTATAATGTGAAGGTAGTGTCTAGTGAAATGCCACCAGCTTGATAATATCTGACTTTTTTCAGTCAAAAACAGTCCGGAGTCTCCTCTTCTGACACTGTCGAGGAAATCTCTCTTGATATGTAAAAGCGCGGTCACTGCACTAAATACTCGTTCTACCAAGAATGAGCTGGCGAGAGCAATAAAAAAACCTTTTAACCCGATCTCACTCGTGAGGATATTTCAATTTGATTCTGTTCCCAAAAAGATGGAACACTGAACATGAGTTTGGAAGTATAAACCCAATGATAGGGGTGATGAAAAACAAAAATTTCTTTACTTTCTCCAAAAAAAGTATAGAATCTTATCTGTGCTTGAACTTCTGTTCGCGTATGACTATACTCAATAATTTTGCAAAATTTCCAGCCACTCGCTTAGTTTTCTGCTGAAGCGCGCCTTCTGCAATCAGGACAGGGAAATGGAAGAGTTCAAACGATGAATACAGAACAATACGTGTTTGTGCCAAGAAAAATTTGGACATTACTTGAGGGATTGATAGAGGTGACCAGCAGTGGTTCAAGCATGACGGGGCGACATCCCATACATCAAATCAGACGCTTGCTTTCCTGAGAGAGAAGTTAGCAGTGACATCCAGTAAGCACCTTTAATTATCGGACTGAAACTTCTCAGATTTTAATACGTAGGGAGTTCGAAGGACAATTTGTATCAGAACAATCCTCAAACGATTGGTGAACTCAAGGCTGTGATTTCAGAAATAGAATGGAGAAATACTCAATGAAGAGTGATTGACAATGCTGCAAAAAAAATGCAAATGCCGAGTAGGGCATTTGGAAAATATTCTAGGAACAAAATAATTTTTGTGCAAAACGTCCTAGATTTTCCGACACTTTTTACAATCATAATCAAACAGAAGTTCAAGTTTAAACAAAATTGAATAATTCACTCCATTTTCGTATAAATAATCGAGAAATTGATGGTCTCGTTTTTTAGGGACCACGCTGTATAAAACTGTTTCTAATATAAATCGGTTAAATATGCTGCTTAAATCACTGTATTCGATATTTTAAACTCACGCAACACAAATGATAAACCGACTTTAAACAATGTCAGACACAACATGATATAACAACGGGCTAGATCTTTGCCTTTTGCCAATTTATGTATTACTTATGTAGCCTTATTATTCAATGACCCAATAAATAGGAATGAACCAGTTGAGTCGCAACATGGGGATGGTCCTATCTGGCGTACGTCAGTTCAATCAGATGCCCAGCTCTCACATTTTGCTCTTAACAAAACCAAAATTATAACAAAAGGGTGTTGTACTTACACTACCGCTTCAAAGCACCATAGAACCCGCTAGTAAATTGGAGCTGTTATTCAAAACAGTAAAACGAAACATGCAGTGCATGGTGGAGGAAGCTTATGCTGTATGCGCTATGTATTATTGATTTATTGTAAAACAATACGGATTTAAAAAAGTCATAACACCTATTTCAACGTTGAGCGAGAAATTTCCAACACCCAAATCACAAGCAAACTAGTTTGAACCAAAACTTAGTAGTAAATGGCATAAAATATCATACTTCTTGTGAGTTCCCGAATTGATGTCAGCGCCCCCTAATCGCCCAATTTAACAGCCAGCGCCCCCCAATTGCCCAAATCGCCATCAGCGCCCCCTTAGTTATGGAAAACGCCCACAAGGGGGCGTTTTCGCCCACTTTGGGAACCGCTGATCTAGACTTTCTATGAATCACTAGGTGAAAAATTTCATCCAGCCGTTTGGACGACACATCTAAACAGACGGACAGATCCAGACACAGACAGAGAGAAAAGCTGATCACAAGAGTCTCCTAAAGCGGAGATTCAATAATATAAGCATCTGGTATTACCTGTATCGTTTGGGCAAGAGCAAGCTGTCTGTTGTGATTTTCTTTCGCAAGATCGAAATTTCCTTGAGAATAGAAAGCAGCTCCAAGGTTTCCATGAGCTCGGCATTCACCCACGCTATCTGACAACATTCTAGACACCGTCAGATCTTCATTCATGTAGTGGATTGCTCTGAAAATAGTCAAATAAAAAATTTCATTTCTATATTCCGGTAGTTCTCAAACCGTGGGAGACTCACAAGGGGGGCGTTGATAATTTTTTGAGGGGGCGTGTAGCTATTTGTTAGATTAAAGCAGGGGTCCCCAAGTTTTTTTCAGGACGACCCCAAAGACAACTTTCAAGTGTCCAGTGCGACCCCAGGTCAATATATATTTTTTTCATGAAACATTAGTAAAGCTTCTTTCACTGGACTTTTGAGTTTGGTCATGTGGTGGTATTAAGTAAAATAAGTTAAAACCAAACAGTGATGTCACAATGATCACCTACATTTTCTATAGCTTAAGCATAGAGCTATGCCTATGGGCCTGTTTTACAGTAAGCCATGGTACAAACGGCTAAATTTAACAGGGTTTTTCAAATCTTAGATGTTTTGTACATCCATCCTCTACCATACCTCAGCGACCCCACGACCTGTTTGCGACCCTACCTATTTATCATCCCGACCCAATTTGGGGTCGCGACCCCTGGTTTGGGAACCCCTGGATTAAATCTTGCCCGCCTTATATTGGATTTTACATTTTTATTATTGTTTAGTGATTATGATTCCATCCATGCATTATCAACATGTTTTTCGAATAAAACATACTTTCGTTTTACCAACTGTTATTTGTTTCGTTTTACCAACTCCGTAAGTGAGTTATTTTTGAGGTGAGGTGCGAGACTTGGCAAATTCTAAAAAGGGGCAAGGCCTGAAAGTTTGAGAACCGCAGTTATAGTCATTATAAAACAGAGTTACTTAATAGGAGTATTACAAAATTTTCGGGTATTGAATTCGGTACATATCTGTTTCCTTATTTTGGGAGCATTAGACCTATTCATTTTGAAGTTATGTTCGTTATACAATTTCATTTCCTTGATTATATTTGCACAGATACACAAAGGCAAAAGTACGGTTACTCTATCTTGTGAAAGACAGCAGATCGATTTTAACATGTTTAATTACATATTAGTAGTGTAATTAGTAAAAGGCTTGAGACTTGCCCTCACATCTTAGAATTGAGATTTTCAAAATTGTCAAGAAATGAGGGATGTAGCTATTCCCACAAACAGATCAATATATAAATTTTATGTGTTTCGTTCAATAATGCAATTGGAATTTTGTTTGCGTGATTGTGAAACATATTTCTGGAATGAATAGACTATGGCTATTTTCAAGCGTCATTTTTAAGTATCAACAAGAACATCATGAACTCGAATAATTTAGGTAAAAAGTATGCAATTTATGTCCAATAATGATAATTCTCATCAAACGTACAAATGAAAATTGATTCCATATTCAATAAATAGCAAGAAATCACGCTTCCCAGACAGCCAGACTCCACATGATGGCCGAAACATGTGCCCCATGAATTTTGTCATAACCCGTACTTTATTAATATATTTCCAAAACACAAAGGGCCATTCATACAAAGCAAGAAAACACAAAGGCAGTTTAAAACGAGAGATCAAAATATATAAAATTGGCCATACATGACCCATAGAAGATCTAACTCTCTGCACACACCTCTTTATGAAACATGACACTCCATGGGAGAAACATGTATGACACAATAATAGAATTCTTCAAATATTTTGTGATTTCACAAGAAGCTTTTGTTCAGTCACAATTGAATAATAAGCGTGTTTGTGTAATCATAAAGGGGTTGATAGTATTGGCCTAACGGTAGGTAGAAGTGGACGACTGACTTTCTTTGCTATTTAATACACTGATTAAGACATTAATGAAAGCATGGTTTCCTGTTAAATAACAACAGAAAATTCGAAAATAAATGTTATTTGAAATTAAAACACGTCATGGCTTATGATGTGGGAATAGGCGTTTTCAGAACCTTTGCTGTCGGCAGGCACTTTGACAAATTATTATCGACTTTGGTCGAACATAGCGCACAATTTATTTTTTACAATATGAGCATATTTTTAGCTTATGAAACCTTGAATTTACACTATTTCTCATGTTTTTTTCAGTAATTGATGTCCGAAATGGATCAAATATCGGAATATTTATTGAAAAATAAGAAGAACTTCACTGCCCCACGGTTGAAAAATTCGCCGTAGAAAATCTTGCCGCATAGGAAAAATCGTCGCATTTTGCAGTAAAACAAGTAGGCCATTTGTGATAACAACAGTTAGGTTTTTGAATACCTTTTTATTCAAAAAAATTCCTTATTTAACAGCATCCCCCAACCTTAACCCTATGTGGCAAAATTTCCTGCTGCAGATTTTCCGGACACTCATTCGTTCAGTGAGTCAGTCAGTCAGTAGTTTATTTTTCACCAAAATGAAAATGCACTAACAGTGAACATAAACTTAAAAAAAAGTTGAAAATGACATTTCATGGTGAAAGGTGACGCAAAAAACCAAAGTTGGTTTCGAGCAGCGACACCTGTGATAAGAGTCTAACTTTGATACAAGTTTAATAGTTCACAGCCAAGACAGAAATAAATAACCAAAGAACAGATGTGGTGAAACATAAATTGGCCATAAACGAATCAACTTACTTTTCTGTATCTCCAAGCGACCATAGAGCGCTGCTAAGAGCAGAGAAAACAGATCCTTTCAATTTGAGACTTCTGGTTCCTATGGAAACCGCATTCTCAAGCACCTGGTAAACATAAATAATAATTTTACAAAGTCAAATGTTTGTGCGATAATGGACGGATATCAAGATTCCACTCCTCGGTAGAGAGTCAAGATATGCTCTCGAAAAATCTTTTAAACCTATATTACAAATAATGATATCCTATTGATCATTGTTACTATTGTAACCCACTATTCAAGGTGACAATGTGTCCCTTTTATAAGGCTTTAAAGAGTTTGAAACAACATGAAAACTAATATGTATGTAATATGGCATAATTATCATGAATATATTAAATAAATATAAAAACCATGAAAAATGAACACTGATAAACAAATGAAACATTATTATCTTATTTATGTTTCTCGAGTCAGAAACAAACAGAGTGTGTTTGTTAGTGTGCAGCTCCATCTTTATTTTGCTACAGCATCCTTGCGTTATACCCATAAGAATCTATTTGCGCAAAAGGCATAGAACTAGTTAGTTAGCCTCGCATAACACCAACTGTCAATTTAAAAAGAAAAACACTTGATAAACCTCTGAGATTTAGAATAACTGTGTCACAACTCACAACGATGTAAATATTCAACGAATCAATCTAAGTTCTGCTAATAAAAAACATGTAAAAACGAATCAAATCAACGTGGTGCCGGTAAGTGTTGAAATCTCAATTATCTTTATTAGGTTTTTAAAATCAATATCTTTCCAATTTAATTCAATCTGATCAGGTACTGAGAAATTACATTAAGCTGATCGTGAGTGACAGTACTTGAGAAGAGCTGTGGGTATTAGAAATGCTGTGAATCGTGGTCATGAAGAGGAAATAATATAAAATAGAAATATATTACAAGTGTTCTATTTATTCCATGGAGCAGTGTCTCTCAAACTTCTTCTTCTCACCAAGCAATTATGAGGTAACTACCCCCCTGTTTAGATAGCACGCTGCCAGTTGGGAGAAAAAACTATGACCCAGAGGCGCCGAAATAAAGACCAATTCAGTTGAAATTTCTATCGCTTTTTCGCAGAACACTCTGGAAAGCTTGCGGAAAGTTTTGTGAAACGCTGCCATGGTGCAGGGCTACTCAACTATTTTTACCGAAGATTCACATGCAAAACTCAAAATTATTTGGGTCTGTCTTTCTAGAAACTATATTTCGGCATCCTTAAACACTTTCTCGGTCGACTAATGATTATTAGCTAATCAAGATTGTTTATTATGACGTTATAGTTCTTTTAATATATATTCAAATCTAGTGATTTTATGAAAGGAAGTTTCAAAAATGGGTCTAATGATCCAAAATAAAGAATTAGGTGCCGTCCGAATCGTATACTGGAAAAGTCCGGATTCGGACCGAGGTCCACCAGTTGAGTAGCCCTGCCATAGAGGAACGAAGGTAATAATACAAAACAAACTGACCTTTAAGATTAGAAAAAAATGTTCAAATCAACTTGAATAAAAATATTTTTGGAAAAATTACAATTTTAGTTGTTGTTGAATAAATAGGGCATAACAGATAACGTTAACTATTCAATATTTATTTGTCTGCGGCTCTAGGATGGAATTTTAACCAGAAGAGAGAATGTGATTTTTTTATATGTTTAAACAGTATTATCGACTTTCTCTTACTCTGTAGTATTTTTGTATAAATTTCATCTAAATTTCATGTTCTACCTGGTAAAATTCATACTAATGTCATGACTGCTATGGTTTTCAGTTTGTAGTAACTTTCAAAATGTTCCAGATACATAAGACCAGGAATGTGGTAAATATTTACATTTCAATATTGATCAAATTTAAAGTTTGCTGGAGTAAACATAGGATACTTTGTTTGTTGGGGTGGAATCACACCTTCTGTTATAGGCCTGTATGGTAGTCCTATCTCCCTTTTCAAACTCAATACATTTTTCGTTTAACCCAAGGTGATCGTGTTTTCTTTTTTACTTAAATATTTTTTCTCTGTGATTGTGTGTGTATGTGGTAGGTGCGTGTGTGAAATAATTTATTAATTCAAGGTGAATGAGCACAGTTCCTATGTGAGTTTTTTCCTCATGTATGTGAAATATCACTAATGATTTGGTTTTTGAGGGACTAAGTACCGATACTTCTTCTTCTTCTATGCTTTCGTGCCGGTGGATCCGTATGCATATAATATGACCTGGGTAGACGAATCGTTACAGAAATATATCTGTGTTAGTGTTCAGCAAGTTTCTTGAATCACTTAAATGTGACATAGAATTTAAATAATACTGGTACAGATTAGTCAGCTTAGCAGGTCACATACTTATCAAAAAACAAATATATATATAAGATACAAACAATACTCACTTGTACAGCATCTTCTGTATGGCTGTGAGCTAATAGTTCTTGACCAATCACTGAAGTTATTATAAATGGATTGGTATCGAGACGCATCTTACGTAGTTGAGACATGACTGGTTCAAGTGAGGCTGAAATGTAATAAATAAATAAATCATTAAATGTAATCAATATTGAGATTACGGTGGTAAACATAGCTAGAATGCAAGTTGAAATTCCAGAAAACCAATCTGATATTTGAAGGAATATTTCGGAAAAACATTTACCGGTAGATTTTTTTATGAGGATTCACACACTTTCACTACCACAAAGGTTACGGGCAAGCTCATACACGAGGAGTCACTCTTTTGGGGAATCAGTACAGTACTTTTTCACAGAAAATACACTTTATACGAACAATATGGTAAAGAAATTCAAATATGGCATATATACATATATGGATGAAAGGAGATGTGATAAACCAATACTGGTTAACAAGGTGTGACACCCACTATTAAATCTAACAGTAGCTAATAAAAAGTAGAGAGAAAACATTGTATCATCTAAAAAAAGGGTTACAGCAAAAATAAAATAATAAAATACAAGCACAGTCAAAAGAAAGAAGAGGAAGAACACAATTTTTGGGAGGTTATGGGAGTTGACCCTGACATCTAACATATTTTCCTGATATCTTTTGCTATCAATAAATTAGCAAAATTTTTGGGTGAATATTGGGTTCACAAGACTCTAAAAAAATGTGAAAAAAGAGTAAACAAAAGCAAATAGCCTTCTAGTGCCTTATTCCATCTATAATAGAGCACTGAAAAATTCAAAATTGATCAATTCATCAGTTGCGGAACAACAACAATAATAATAACCAGATATATTTCAGAAATTGGTACTGCGATAACACAGACAAAAATAAGAACTAGTCCAATTATTTGAAACGGAAACCAGATTAACTATCCCATTGCCATCATGGAAGATGATTAAGACATCTTAATTAGGGGCTTCCCCTCTCCCCTGACGTAAATATTAAAAATCTATCCACATAAATACTCACTTCTTATGGGGGAATTCAACGAAACTTCAATGATTGCATTGAGCAATTGTGGATTCTTCTGATCTCGAACTAATCCTTCTGAGAATGAGACAATGGATTGTGAAAAATCACCCAGGCATTGGAGAGAAACGCCTTGTCTGAAATAACCCTGTGATGAAATGAAAATACAATGAGTGAATGTGTCTATGTAGACAAGGAAAGATTGCATAGACAAGATTCTTTATAATTCTAACATTATAACCAGGGATGGCCAATTCGAATAAAGTATTCGAATGTATTCGAATTTCTTGTTATTCGAATATCGGAATTAACGTTCATAAGAATATCGGATATTTGTGTGATGTCACACCTTTTCGACGCCGGCCGCTTTCAAGCCGTTTCCGTTGAATGAAAACATCCTCGATAGAAACTTGCGCGTGATTGTTTTCATCACTCATCAGTAACGTGTTATTTGGGCAGTAAACGCCTTTACGTTTGTGTTATTTTCTCTAAAATGAAAATTTTCCACAAAATTGTTCCACGATAACGATGACAATTATTTTATTTTTGTACGCGCACGGAATTGTGAATCTGGTAAATACGTTCATCGGCAGCCAATTTTCTAAAGACAACGCAACTTTTTGATTGAAAAGCGGCAATTTAAAATACTGAAAATAAAACCGTAAACAATATAAGTTTTATTGCGGCCCGCGAAAATTTAAAAAACGCTTTTCTAGGCAGTGAAAATCGCACATTATGTTTGGTCGGCGTTTAGAAACATATCGTCACGAATTGAGGGCTGGATTTGCCTGATTATTCATTACTTTAAATTGCCGTCGAATATTTTCGTGTTAACATGGTACAAGGTTTAAAACGCTACTTTTTCCCGGGTTGTGAGGATGTATATAATATAATTAATCCGAAGTATATTCAATCAATTTTATTGTGATGAAATAAATTTTACTCTGAAATGTTACAGCAGATTTATGGACTTTTCGAATGTTAACGAATTTCGATGTTAACAAATACATCTAAATATTTGTCGAATTCGCAAAATACGGATCAAAACATTATTTAATCGGGCAGTTTACCACACGTTTATATTTTAATGACTGCGGATTGCAATGATATATAAGAGTGGTGAGGATTTTATTTTGGTAAATTAATAAGACAAGACATTTTAAATATGCCCGTATCGGTCATGAATTCATCGCTTTGCACAACAGAAAAATATATATTCGTTGTTATATTATTTGTTGTAAAAGTCGACTCTTTTAACAGGTGGCATATTCGCGGCGATGAATATGTATTTTTAATCCACTGCTAAACTTTATATGTATATTCATTGTATGAAATGAATTATACTCTACACCTAACAGGATTTTATATCATTATTATATTTTTCTAACGGCGATAACGAGTTGGCAAGATTGCAAAAATACCTATTAAAATGAAATACATCAGGCAGTTTATCTCGTACTTTTAGGTCACAGATCGCCGTGGTCCCAATAGTAACGTTTTTTTTTTGAGGTAAGAAGAAGCAACCGCGAGTTACGTTGGACACATTAAATTAATATATAAAGATATTTTAGAATCTCGTAGTTGTCATGGATTGAATATTTTACGTAACAGAATGATCATTATACGCTGAAAAGACGGCTCTTTTAACGAGCGCGGAATCGCGGTGGGTGTTTCAGGCGGCAATGGGAATTTCCGATTTCGAAAATCCTGGCTGCGAGGCTGGCAGTGGTGGTCATCTATCCTCTACTAATTTATTTCTAATTTCAAACACAACAATATGTTACACATAATAGCAATATGGTTCACATAAATTAATATACAAATATACTGGAAGGTAGTAGAATACTCGAGGCTTAAATATTAGAATTTTTGAAGGCATAATGGATATTCAATCGTTGTTGCTTGCTTCAGTCGCCTGCATTGCCAATGAATTTAATTACTCTCAGAAATATACACAATTATCTGAATACAAGTAGTATTTTTGGCAATAGACTTGACTATTATTGTAATATCATGGTACCAATGATAGAAAGCGTCAGACAACTCCTTGGCTATCTTTTCATACTGCCATATGGTCATTTGTACAAAGTGAATAATTTTAATAAACTGACTGTGTCGCAAGTTGCTATTATTTTTTATTGATAGCTATAAACTATCAATTACTTTGTGTACATATACTGTTGGTTTGTGGCTTTATTCTGATATTTCTATTGAAGCTTATTTCCCAATTTACTGGGTTTTAATAAACTAAAACAAAAAAGTGTTATTTTCGATTTTAGAATGTATTCGGAATTCCAGATTCGAAAACATTATTTTAGAATGTATTCGGAATAGTTTAGTATTCGGAAATGGCCATCCCTGATTGTAACACACTACTCTGGTGCAAATATTGAAAATTGTTGATAGTCATAAATTAATATGCAATTCAAGAGCCCTGCTGCACACTAACATAAATATATTTCTGTAACGTTTCCTCTGACCAAAATCAGTCTTCCTCAGACAAGCAGTTTACAACAATTTGAGAAAGGATTTGGAGTTAGTCTCGCGAACCTCTACTGATAGTCATAAATTACTTTATAATCAAATTTGTCCGGAGAGAGGCACTGAAGCCTAAAGTGTAAAGAATAGTGATAGCTACAAACAAACACTAATATATAAAATATATAGATAGGTTCACATCTGTAGTAACCACAATCTGCTGTAATCATTCACAACATTTCTACATATAAATATGTATCAATCCATACATAAATTTATCTGGGATATTGATAGCTTCTATATCTAATAACTTGCACTTCTCAAAATCATACTATGACATTTAATGAGAGCTCAGGCTTTTACTGTAATAATGAACTCTTAGAAAGGGGACATAAATACTATTCAAAACTGTCGAGCAACTGAATGTTACCAAAGGAACCAACATTATAAATGAGTTTATCCAGACATTTAAAAAAAGTCAGAGAAGAAGGAATATAAAATAAATAAACATTTCACGATGTCTTGTGAAAATATTTTTATAAAAATATAACAATAGATATGTTGATGTGTATCTGCTATCACTAAAGCAAGCTTTGTATCATTCCAGAATATTTTGTTTTCATTTAGATTAGCCCAGTGGCTTTGTTGTTTGGTACATGCTATGAGCAGACTAGTTTTCAGATGGTTACGTGGAACATGTATATATAGTATCTCTTAATACACCAGTATATAGAAAAGAGCGGATAGAAGTGAATTTACATATTTATACTGGGGGAGTAGAAAGCCAATAAGATGTATGTATTAGGGATGGGACGAATCCAAAAAGGTTCGGCTCGGCCGAATCCCGAGTATTTGTGCTGGACTCGTGTCCGAGTCCCGAGTCCAATACTTTTACATAGCTACGAAACAAATACCTAAAGTGATGCTGTTGTTCTCGTATATTGGCCGTAAATTAAACATTCTGTATGAAAAGACTATGTAATTTAAAAACGTTGCACATAAACACAACTGCTTTCGAGACAATCATTCTCTGAGCGACTAGTTTAAATTAGAATAAATAGGTCATATTTCCCGTCGAAAGAATACTTTGTTACGTAACTCTGATCGACCGCCGCGTCGACTGCTGAAGACGCCGCGCTCGTGTCCTGTCACGATAAATACGGGCCATAACCCACACGTTTGGAACAAATTTTTTATGGGAAATTTTACTCATATGTTATCTTTTTTAGTCGGCGCTGATACAGACGCCCATCTCCGTGATAATTGAGATACTAATAAAGAATTGCCAACTGTGGAAGCATCGAATAAATGTATCTTATAAATATATCGTAACAAAATAGCTAGCTATTATTCGTTTGAAAACCATCAATAGCGATTGTCGAATCCGCGGAATACAAGAATGTGTAATTGTTGATTTTGATTCAATAAGAGAGACGCAAAAGGCGAAATGTGTTATATGCTAAGTTACGGCTGTATGACACAATCATTTCCATTAATACAAATAACGGCGCTTTGAAAAGCAAAATCAAATTTATTAACATTAATTTAGAAGTGAGAGTTACGAGTAAGAATTCACATACGACTCTCGCTAACAGACAGAAACGATAAATGTGAGAATTATTATGGTTTTCTTTCTGCGCCTATCGTTATCTTAACAATTCCCAATTTTGCATAAGCGCGCCAACACCTTTTCACATATAGAAACGTCAAACCAGATTAAGTGGGGCAGGTAAATTATATATTATATGGAAATATTGTTTCGACTAGGTAAAAATGCCATAACTCGAAACAGCACGCAATGGTAAATTTCCGGAGTTTTAATTTATTATCTAATATTAAAATAACACAGCCACGATAGGTATTGTAAAATGGGGACCGTAATTTACAAACTGTGATATGGAAGATCAAGTCCAGAAGATGAGGCCAGAATAAAATTAATATATTTATGAATTCACTAATTAATAGTGAATCTTGGCCGATTTGTACTCGCACTTCTGCCTGAAATATAAAAACGAAACTTCGATGTCCGGCGTTGCGTGAGAACTGATAGTGAAAAAGGGTGCTTTAAAAATATAGTTTACCAACCATAATTAGGATGTCGGTCGCCGAAACGACCGCGGTGACAAAAAAACAATTCACGATTGTGATAAAATTAGGGATAAGAAGTAAAGACGCCGCGTTGTTATCGAGTCTCCAGTCTTCTAGTAATTTTCTACTATCGGTAAATTAAAAGAAATACGGTAGTCGAATTATTCGATCAGGAAAAATTCGATTTTGCCCGTCACTAATCGCGGTGTATGTAAATAATTATTGAATAGAAATAAAAAGTCGGCCCGATTAACATTCAATTACCACGAGTAATAGTTTCCAAATTTATGCACATTTAATCGATGCGACTTGCGAGATTGTTTTTGTACATATATACGATTGTAACGCCACTGACATCTGCGAGTTGTACTTTTCTCTTAAAAGAACCGTAATTTTCACTATTTTATCGTTTTATTTCTAACATTTGTTTCTCTCCGGAAATAGCTAGATCATTTATGGAACGATAAAAGGCGAACAGCGCGACATGGTTACCGCTGATCACGGAGTAATCACTGTTAGAGGATTAGCAAGTATATGCTTGAAATAGGACATTCACTAAACGACTTCGCGAAACACTGGAATTTATTCAGCTGACTTTCGCTGACATTTTTTTGTTCTTACGGCGTCGTGAATTTGTAGTTTTGCCGCCTAGTTTTAATTTCACGTAGAGAAAATAGACTGGACAGTCTCGTGGCAAAACAGAACGAAAAAGTTGAATTTCTCGTCGAATCCACCACCAGTCTGCGCTTGACTATCGCGTGACGTATGATATCCCGGACTCGGGTAAAATCATCAGAGACTCGGGCCGAATCCGAGTATCAAATTACGAGAGATTCGGCCACGAATCCGAGCACGAGTCCGAATCTTGTCGCATCCCTAGTATGTATGTATGTTTATTTGCCTCAAAAATGTAACAGTATCTGCAGTTCTGCACTATAGTTGAACGGTATAAAAGAGACGGGATATATGTTCAAGACCTTACTGGCCTAAGACACAGATGTTCGACATGCAACCCAACAAGTATAACTGCAGTTTAGGACTGCTGCGTTATAGTAGGACAACAGACATGAAATATACAAATAAAACTCTTGTACAATACACCACGGCACCACGATGATATGTACAATAGGCAGTTTATGGCACGTTCATGTCCCAGGTTTTGATGTGAAGGGATGGGAATAGGGTATGAATCGCTCAGGGCTTGTCATATGGCGAACCACGGCCTCTTGTCCGTTACCAGTCCAGGTCGGGTATGGGATTAGTTAACCAGTTGTTTGTTTTCGGAAGCATGGACTTGAGGGTGGAGGAAGCCGTAACTGACCAGCGATAATTAATCAGAACAAGTCTTTGAATGGGCAAACAGAAATTTGGTGACTATTATTGGAGGGCATATAGACTTAATTTGAAGGGGTCAATAGGGTGATGCTGCATGACTGATTACAGATATGACCAAGTGCAGTTTCAAGTATTTTGTGGCGTCTGAATCTGCTGCAAAACCATGGCGGCTTTCCAAACCATGGCCACTATAGTCAATTTTGCCCCCGCAACCACCGCATGTCGGCTGTAATAGCATGGCTGCCCCTGATGGTGATAAATATTGGTTAAGTTGGAACAGTTTTTTATGGATACAGTTGGGATGGATTTTGGTTTAGGTTTCAGGTTTAAGTGGATATAATTCCTCATGATCTGGTACATGACTTTGTGAATATACCGGTAATAGCGCCATAACCATGGCAAGAGCTGCCATTGGTTCTTTCGTGACAGGAGCTGCGATGAAGTGGTAAGAACTGCGCCTTGAAATGACAGTAAAATTTGGATTCGAAAATGCACAAAATTTAAATAAATCCCAACCTAATAAAGTTTGAATTCAGTGTAAGTATTCAGTTTTGACATGCGGAAAAATCCATATTCATAGTGCAAAAATTGTTTCAGATTCACATTATTTGAGTGGACACGAATACTGGACTATCCTGAATACATCCAAAAAAATATTTCTTATCCATAATTCCATATACATTTTAAAAATACGACACAACACAAATTTTTTTTATGTGAACCCAACGGAATAGGAATTAAGCTTTATTATTAATGTTATCATAGTGAAGCATGCAGACATCAATTGAAGGAAATGTGTGATAGTAGGCACAAGGATACTCACATAGTATGTGTACCAGGTTGGAGTTAGCCATTATTTTATTCAGAATTTCCTTATTTTAGTTCTACTACAAGGGACTGTCTGTGTTAGCCAAGTGAATATACCCCTTGCCCATACGCTTTAGTCCTTTACACAACTCAATGTAAAATAGTCGAACAAAATTAGTTAGCTCCATATTGGTAAACATACTACTGGAGCACCGGCACAAGAGCTTCCTTTCTCTCTTAGTGATGAAAGTGAGAAATAAACATAACTCACCATCACAAAATCAGGATTTAGATCCAATGCCATTTCAGCATCTTGCAAAGCATCGTCATACTGATGTAACTGAATTCTGCATAATGCTCGACTTTCGTATAAATTTGGATTGGAGGGATCAACCTAAGTTAAATAAAACTATTTAAATTAAGGTAGTCAAAACCCTTAAAATTACTTTGCAGCATGACAGTCAGCTTTAGCACATAAAAAAAATAGAGAGTTTAATTGTTAGAAGAGATAACAGGAAATTCATTGTCTCTAACTGCTAAAAAATGCTATATCAAAGCACTAGCCCAGGGGTTCCGAAACCAGGGTTCGCGACCCCAAATTGGGTCGGAGTGATAAGTAGGTAGGGTCGCAAACAGGTCATGGGGTTGGTGGGGTCGCTGAGGTATGGTAGAGGATGGATGTACAAATAATCTAAGATTTGACAAGCCATGTTAAATTTAGCAGTTTGTACCATGGCTTACTGTAAAACAGGCCCATAGGCATCGCCCTATGCTTATGCTATAGAAAATGTACGGTACGTGCTTATTGTGACATCACTGTTTGGTTTTAGTCTATTTTACTTGATATCACCACATGACCAAACTCAACAGTCCAGTGAAAAAAGCTCTAAAGTTTCATGAAAAATATATATATTGACCTGGGGTCGCACTGGACACTTGAAAGTTGTCCTTGGGGTCGTCCTGAAAAAAACTTGGGAACCCCTGCACTAGCCTATACTTACAAATTAGGAAACACAATATTCCAGTACCTCAATAGCTCTTGTGTATAGATGTTCTGCTTCTTTGAAAAATCCATTTGCTAATGCTTGTTCCGCTTCTTGAACGATTGATTTCAGAGACATTCTCAAATTTTGTCACGAAAACAAGTATATCAAGAAATATTGGAACCAATATTCCACATTATCAATTAATCGCAGTTATTTATGCTATAACAGCAATGGTATACAACCATAAAAACGATAGAAGTTTCAAGCATGGTAAAATTCTAAACAAAAAAACAAAATTAAGTTTTTACAGTTTTACAGTCTGCTTTCTTTTTCCAGGCTGCCTGGTACAGTGGTACCGGTACGTCAAATAACTTCTTGGGATCAGGACATGCAGAGATAGCCTAGCCCTAGTGTTTCATGAATGATTTGTGTTTTTTGTAAATCAAATCGAATAGCTAGGCTGCTATTATTAATATATTTTTTAAATTAGAAAAAAGAATCTACTGGGGTCTGGGAAGAGATTTCTATTTAAACAGCACGAACACCACCCAAGATTATTATAAGCGAAAATTCACTGCCTGTTGCAAAATAATAAATGAAATATCCGAATGAAATATGCAACGAGTTCGCGCGCCGCACATGTCTCATGCTGTCATTGAAAGACTTGGCTGGTTTAATTTATTCATTTAAATACAGTTTTCTCTCAAGCGATAAATAAAAATTAATACCAACTCATCAAAAAAGGCATTGGTTATAGTGATCAATATTTGCATTTAAACATTGTTATTGTTTAGTCTAAATAATAAATGAGATCATAGTCGCTACGGTAACCATACACGCATGACATGCATGATGTGCAAAACGACATTTCACTGGTCAACTGATTTTGTAAAATCTGCACACTGGGACCTATCTATGACAGATTAAGGGACATTTGCAAATATTTGGTCACGGGTCACGTAAATAAAAACCCCACTGGTAAAACTATGCAATTCAAGAGTCATGCAGCACACTTACACAAATGTATTTCTGTAACGTTTTGTCCGTTTTGTCTGACCAAAATCAGACTTCGTCAGACAGGCAGTAAAACTCTGTTTGGGAATATTTTTACGTGCTGTGTTTATTCGTTTTCATATTTAATATCGAGGAGCAAAAACCCGATGAAAATGAGTCATTCTTAGTCGGTCACAAAATTAGTGCTCTTTTGCCGGTGGAAAAAGCTATAACTAGCCTCTAGCCAGCCGTTATAGGTACATAATAGGACCTCCTGAAGTATGCGCACCAAGATGGCGCACAACCTGAACTCAGGTTGTGTACCAGATTGGGATTCAGGTTATGCGACATCTTGGTGCGCATACTTCAGGAGCACCACATAATAATTCCGACACACCAAGCCGCCGCATAATTTTCACCTCTAAAAAAGACGATATATCAATATTCGAAGCTTCAAACACTTCCAAACATTGTTGGACACCGCGCCAGCGTAGAGTGATTTTCCGGGTTCATCCACTGTCAAAGTTTGTGGATTGTGAGGCATTGACCTAATCCACTAAACTCGATGTAGAATGAGAATCGTACAAAAAACATTTGACTTTACGTTTGATTCAGGCAAGCTTGTTAATCATCAGCCTGAAAAAAAATACAGGCTACAAACATAGGGAAATATTCGAAACTCTCCTTCTGGCATCCCAACCCTTAAAGCAATTCCACGATATTCGTTTCAAGTCTGTATTTTGGAATAAATAAATAGCAGAAATCATAAAGAGTAATGTATAATAAAAAAAGGGGACTTCCTGAAGTATGCGCACCAGGATGACGCACAACCTGAGATCAGGTTGTGTACCAGATTAGGGTTCAGGTTATGCGACATCTTGGTGCGCATACTTCAGAAGCACCAAAAAATGATTGTATTGTATAAATACTTCAACATAAGCTTCAATCAATTATATATTGAGTTAGTGAATGGTTTCAGGAGGCCACCGCATTATAACTTGAGTAGTAACTGTAATTGAGGGCTTTCCAAACTTGCCTTGGCCCGAGTGTTACGATATGATATAGGCCTTTCGCTTAGTAAACTTAAAATTATAATTTCATTATGACGTCATAAGCGTTCGGTGATCCATTTTTCTTGAGCGTTCCTTGAATTACACACATTGTACATTGCAGCAATGCGTCACGGGCAATTGGAGGGGGCACGGATCATGAAAGTTCGAGAAGCAGTATACTCCAATATAATCGTGGTTTCATAAGTTAGTTTTCAATAATAATATATAAATATGAATCCGACGTATTCGGTCGGTAGACCATAGTTTATAGTTCGTAATATGGCACATGCAAAACAAACAGTGCTGATTGCACAAAAAATAAGGAAAATTCACAGATAAAAAAACATTATTTTGGACATTGATGGTCTCTACATCTCACTCTCGTCCTTGAGCAGCTCGGGGGAATACTTCTAAAACCCGATTTTGTGCAAGTTCTTATTATGTCTTTTGTTCCTCCGCCACACAAAGCGCTACAAGGCTTTGGAGCTGACCATTTTGACCACGATAAGCAGAGATCTGAAAATAAGTTAGAGATATTAGATTTCCATCTTTTTACATTTATTACGTTCATTTCTAAGCTTGGCAACTACATTTTAGTCATTTTAAACTTTTTGCCCATTGATCGATGTCGCATATCACACTGCTCATATTTTGTGTGTGAACGTAATGCGGTGTTTATGAAAAAATATCATTTCGCATCGTCATAAAAATATGAAAACTAGAGTTTTTAAAAACCAAAATTTCGGCAATAATGTCTCTTACCTTCATTGCATGTTTGCTCTTCAATGGTTGCAGAATTTCCACCAATACATGGTGTCATTTGTCCTGGGAATACTCTGACATTCTGTGTAGCAATCAAACCGTCCATTGTACTACACGCTCTCTTTCTTCTTCTAGTTCCAATCCCGCAACTGTTAGAACAAGAGCTCCATTTGCTCCACGTACTCCATTCTGCTGTCTGTTGTTTTATGTTTGTGCAGGGTAATCCTTTACAAATTTTCACTTTTATTGAACACTGTTTTTCGCCGGTACTTTTTCCTTTTTCGTTACAAGTCCTAAGAACAAAAATGATTTATTGCACATTTGAATATTTGCAAAGCCATAAAGTCAGCAGAATTCACAACTTAAAGTAATACACACTTACGCAAGTGCACGTAGTTATATATCATAACACGTATGATCGACAACTATCTAATTATCGGTAAAAAAAACCTTACAGTGTCGCTAAAAACAGGTTCCCTCGTTTCAGAAAACCATGCCTAGCTAAATCAAAAAATAAGGGGTTCGCGGGTGTCACGGAATTCCAAAAAAGGGTTCTCGTACACCCTGAATCCGGGAGAAAATAATGACATAATACCTTTCTTGAACGCCAATCCCACTTGATCCACACTCCGCAGGGCAGAGTCCAGACGACCACGAAGACCACTGAGAACAGAGATCTGTATTGCATGGTTTGCTTTCACTGGAACCTTTATAACCACCAAGACAACTAGAAGTTGAAGCTATGATGCCTGAAATAAAAGAGTTGGATAAATGATAAATGTTAGATTGGCGACAAAATATGGCTCCAGTGGTTTTCTTCCGAGGTTCTGCCTGAACACTCCAAAGGTTTTGAAAATTTTTCATTACAATTCGTCTATATCAGTGGTTCCCAAATCGCGGCCCCGCGGGCAAACTACGGCGCGGTTAACGATTTAATATGGTCCGCCGAACTTTGAAATAGTTTAACACTAAGTTTCATGTTTTTCTTATTTTGCGTTCTAAACCGACAATTGTTACGCGAATATCACAGTTTAAGCACGTTTTTTTGTGACAATTCAATCAAACCGGTATCCTAATTATACGTAACGGGACCGGCCACTTGCGAGCATTCCCCTCTCCCAGCCCATGGATATTCTTCCGCGACACGTTTTATTGATTCTAAACGACGTACGAGTGGGCTATAAAGCAGGTCAAACGAAATTGCGCTCCAGAAGTATGTATACTAATATGGCGGTAACTAATTTTGTTCAGCTATTTTACATCAAATTGTGTAAGGGACTGAAGGCTATGTGCGAGGGGTATATTCACTTGGCTAACACAGACAGTCCCCGAACTCGTAATAGAGCTAAAATAAGGAAAATCGGAATAAAACTATGGCCCAACCCTAACCTGGTACACATACTACGTGAGTACCAACTACCAACGAGATAATAGTACTCACCCATTCTAAGACATAGCCTTGCTCTTTCAGTCACTCCGGGGCCGCAAGAATCGGAACATGTTGTCCACTCTCCCCACTCGCTCCAGGATGCTTGACATATTACAGCACAATTACGCGTTTCCTCGTTCTTACCGACGCAATTTATTTTGCTTTGACATCTTCTTGACCTTGTTTGCTTAGCTAATGTGCAGGACGTGGCGTCAGGACATCGTGACCACGCTCCCCAAGAGGTCCAGCCAAAACCTATAAGAGAGTATCAAATACACTGTTGAGAAATTGAAAACTGCAAGCAGAATAATTTAAAAACGATTTTCAAACCTCATATAGCAAGTACACAAAATACCGATTTAAAGCCAAATGTTTATATCATATTATTCACACTCGGCTATTTTAAAAAGACTTTCAGCATCAGTTTAGTTAATTTAGATATTTTAGTATGTTTTTCTTAGTGTGTCGTCGCTTTCAGACAAAAATACACAAATGACCTTCACAGGCTTTACACGATGTCATAACGATTTCTGAACCTATTTGGTTTTACGAATACGAGTTTATACGGGCTGGAATGAGTTATCATGAACTTGCTTTGGGAATAACTTTACAAATAAATCCCATTACTGATTTTGCTTACTTTTATTAGACTTCTTCCAATGCAATGTTTTAACAGTGGGTAGATGGCAGATGTTCGGCTCCTTCCAACAACAGAATTGTTTATAACAAGATTCTCTGAAAAAGTGAAGGTCAAGTTATATTCCTAATATAAATTGATAGGTAAATTAAAAAGGTCTTGAAAGATCACAAGGCATAAGATTTTTTGAACCTCCTGAAGTATGCACACCAGGATGGCGCACAACCTGAACTCAGGATGTGTACCAGGTTAGGGTTCAGGTTATGCGACATCTTGGTGCGCATACTTCAAAAAATGGGTGAAGATATAACCTATGTATATCAGAACTAGACTGGCTTACGAATCAACGAGAAACATTCAAAAAACAGTGATTTATGTTATATTTATTAAGCATTACATGGAAAATTGTTGCCGTATGAAAAAAAATTGCTCTTCATTTCGGAAGCGGGATTAATTACTTTAAACTTTCATATGGAAGTTCTCCTAACGAGCTGTTAATTTTATTTATTTTCAAATTTACTCTGTCATCGCCGTAGCTTTAAAACTGGTTGATTTCTAAACAATTCCGCTTGATTTCTTTTTGTCCATACCCTGTTTCGTTTTTTTAGAGTTTTCGACATCCAATTTACCGAAATACCCTCACAGATTCGGGAATACCAACTTACTTTGTCACTGATCTTCTGGTGCAATCCCTTTTTTCTTGATCTTCGCTGGGACATTGAGCAAGAAGAGTGAATCCGCCCATTTCGTAGATTCCGTTAGGACCGTAGTACCCCGGCGCATGTGTCGGTTTTACGGAAGTTGGGTTTGAGGTAGACACAAACGATGACGTAATCGGTGACGTAGTCGATGTTGATGACGTTGAAGTTGATGTTAACGGTGTACTGGATGCGTTGTTTTGTGTTGAAACAGGTCGAGTGGAAATTGAATTAGTCGATGATATGATAGACAGAGATAACGTCATAGATGACGTTATCGATGGCGTAGTCGGCACGGATGACGAAGTAGTAGTGGTCAAATTTTTTGTTGCGAAAGAACTAGTATAAATAGCATTAGTTGAAGAGGTGGATGACGCGGCTGTCAAGTTCGTTGCGGGTTCTGGAATCGTACTTTGGTTTATTGCGTTTGTAGATGTGAATGCCGACGTATCAGACAATTTCGAAGAGTGCGTTGAGAATGTTTGTGAGACTACTGTTGTGTTGACTTTTGACGGCTCCTTAGTGGTAACGATTCGAGTCGTTTCATATGATATAAATGGCGAAGAATTCGCCGTGGTAAACTTTTCCAATTGATCATTTACAGTAGTCGATTCGGTTGACGTCGCCATAGGAGAATTGGTTGGTGTCGTTGTAGATCTCATTATAGCGGCTGTCGATGATTTTGTTGGGTTGGTTTTCATTTTTTGCGATCTTTTCGCGGAGTCTGTTTTTTTCTTTTGTGTCAGAGTTGCTGGATTAATAGGATTCTCTTCAACTAGCATTTGTGCTTTTATGAATTCACCAATTCTAAAATAAAGAGATTGAAATATGAAGTAAATTGTAGTCATTCGTTACTATTCGGGTTATTAGAATTTGGTTTGCATGTCTCGATCTAAATGACCCAAAAGTCATTCGATATCCAGTTAGGTATTATTAGACAGGCTTTTACTTAATAGACAAGACTTTATTTAAAATAAACGAATAATAGAGCAGTTGTAAGGTATATGGCGACAAAGTTAGGAATCATGAACGTATGCCACTCAGTGAATACTCGCAGGTGGCGCAAACTTTCAAAATAAGCAAAATTTAGGGTCAATCAAACGGCCAAATGAATTGCATGTTTAAGACCAAACAAAAGTAATAACCTTTATAAGTCAACATTCACATATTTTCATTCACTCGATCGATCGACCGAGTTTTTAACGTATTTCGGGCCCGATAGCAACATTCCATAGGTCAATTGACATCAAAATATGAGTATACAGGGTGTCCACATGGTCCCCTTTCAATTTTGTTACGAGGTCAGTTCTCAGCATATTATATTAACCAGGTTTGTTGTTTTTTAATCAGTAATTGTTCATATATTCTTATTCATTCAATACTTCTGTGAGAGCCAAAACAATATACGGCATCGACAAATTACCTTTGCAATTTCAATTTAAAAATGTTAAGACTTTATGGACACCCTATATATTTAAACATGCCAACAACAGCTCATTTTTGTAAATTTCAACCTAGGTATTTGCTCAGAAGCTAATAAACTTACTTCACGATAGGTCCTTCGAGGGCTAAGCCTTCCATATCCGTTGTTCGATATCCTACCGAGGGTAGAACAGTTGTTCTTGGACTCAATTCAGTTGTAGTTCTAAACTTCAAATCTTCGGGTGAACGTTCTGGAATACACAAAGAACATTTTAAAGTGGAGTATTTAGGATGTGGCAACCTTGGCTGGGTTTTAATTGTAAAATGTTTCAATAAATTAATTTCAAATTGTAAAAATTTGAAACACATATTTTTACTTAAATAATAACGTACAATTATCTAAATTCAACAACAGTCGGTAAAAATTGTCTGTCAACGATCCCGTGTGCGCATTTCTAAGCTTTGTTATTGGCGCCATTTTATTTGATTGAATTTATTGGTATTATATCGCTGCTACAACTATTTTTAATTTTATTTTGCGCAAACTTAACTGCAAATCAAGTCAAGTATATTATTATTATAGATTTACTTATTTTGATTAAACATCAAAAATTTACTTACTTTTATAACACTGCGGATCTTGTCTGCTTTCATCAAAACAGCCCCCTAGTCGTTTGCATCTTCGCTTCCCAATTGCGCGATAACCAACTTGCTTTCTTTGAGCAGGCGAAACCTGGCATTCCTTTTTCGGACATTTCCCTGCAAATGGTTAGAAGTTCCAGGCATCAAGAGAGTTTATTTGTCACATATTATGATATTAGTCAATTATATTAATCTTAGCGACTATAGCATTTTCATGGGACGCCAATGGTCACAACAATTTTCTCATTGCCTTAGAGACTTAGACCGTAACAGCTGGGAAAAGATGAGTTTACAAGGGTCTCAAAATGGTTTCAAGCAACAAATATTGCGGCGCTCCAGAAGCAGGGGCGTAGGGGGAATTTTCAAGGGGGGGGGGGTGAAATTTTTACAGCTAGCAGGTCCGATCAAACGCTGTTTTTATTAGACTTGGTGGTCTGAAAAGCATTTCAAGCTACGGAAAATTGCAATCTATATGATACAGAAAAATGATTTTATTTTTTTTACATTTTAAAAAGGGGGGGGGGGGGAGATGGAAGTAACCAATTTTGGACCTCCTGAAGTATGCGCACCAAGATGGCGCAAAACCTGAACTCAGGTTGTGTGCCAGGTTAGGGTTCAGGTTATGCGACATCTTGGTGGGCATACTTCAGCAGCACCCTAATTTTGTTCGCCTAATTTACATTAAGTTGTGTAAAAGGTCGGAAGCCTATGGGCAAGGGGTATATTCACTTTATTAACACAGACAGTCCTCAAACTCGTAATAGAACTAAAATAGAGAAAATTGGTACAACATGATGGCCTAACCCTAACCTGGTAAATATACTACGTTCCGGTGTCCGCCATCTTGGTTCACATACTTCGGGAGTACCGAATTCTCACACAAACTATCCAGTAATTTCGACACTCATCGTTTTACTTTTCTCACCTGATTTTTCGTAACACCTTCCTTTCCATCCAAGCGCAAAAAGTGACGTCACATCGTCATGGCAACAACCTACAGACTCACAATCCTCTTTACTAGAAAACCAATCGACTGTTTTGCAAGGTGTTCGCTTGAGAATTGAAATCCAGCATTTGCAATCTATAAGGAAAGATGAAAAAAATTTTCAAATTATTAATTTCGAAAAATTTATTTCGATTTGAAATTCGATCGGATTTAAATATTTTTAAATTGATTTATAGGATCTTTCGTACAAAGCCCCCGTCGAACGCCAAACGCTAAAAATAAGAAAACGAGAATATCGGTCGGAGAACGAAGACTTATCGATCGAAACTGCGGTTTCGATTCATGACTCTATAGTGACACCACATGTCCCATCACTAATTAATTGATAACTCGCTAATTATACGACATAATTCATCCAAAATCAATAGGTCTGAGATATGATGAATGCACATGCAAAATTTAGAGCTATTCAATCTTGCCTTCTTGAGATATCGCGTTCATCAGGCATACAAACAGACATACAGACAAATACCTATCAACATACTTACCGATCTTAAGATCGATAAGTAATAAGTGATTATCGAGTTAATTGGAGATTCAGTTTGCGTTTGAAATTTAAATCATTCCCAAACCTGACTGGAGAATTACTGATTTGTTATTTAAAAACATGGCGAGGATGTTTTTCTCAAATCTTACATTTTTGTATTAGTGGCGGAAAATTTGTACAAAAGATCCGAGTTATCCACTCCATGGTTTGTGATTCGGGGGAAACAAACGGATTCTTGCTTTGTTTTGTAGGTAATGCTTTATGCAGTAGTGGGATTCAATTTTTTTGTCAGCCGGTTCCATCACATAAGTCATAAATATTTTTCGGCCGGTTCTGTTACATGTTTTTTTTAGTAATAATGCTAACCGGTTCGCTGATCTCATAAAATTCCGTGAGACGGTTCTATAGAACCGGTGCGAACCGGCTGAATCCCACCACTGCTTTTATGTATACCAGGCATCTAAGCGGTAATATTCTTGTGCCATATACTTGAATATATTTTTGAAATTAGATCGGGCGTCTCTAGGATCTTTTGCACAAAGCCACCACCACTAATACAAAAATGTGAGATTAGAAAAAAACACCACCGCCACCTTTTAAAATACTACATTTTTAATTTTCTGCGCAATCTGCATTCCTGACTCTAGTTGGATAATTACCAATTTTCTTAATTTGAGCGTTGGCGGAAGCTTTGTACAATTGATTACGGCTCTAAATGTACACGTCAACGTTTTCAACAGTGTCGGCAATGACAGCAATGCCACCACTCATCCTGTAAATTAACAGACATGGTAGAGTGGACATTGTTGTCTTTAACCGATTGTTTGAATTGTAGACGCCGTACTCGCCAGGCGGAACTGCAGTGGTGTGACTAAGGTGTAACGGCTATGGTTCGTGTCATTTTCGCTGTTTGAATAAGGGTGCAAAATCGGCGAAAAGTTTAGGTTGTAAAACGTTTCAACGAAATAAAATTGGAAATAATTGATAGCTGTATTGTTCTATTTGAACAATAACGTACAAATATCTCATTTCAACAAAGGCTGTCAACAAAAATTCTCAACCAACGACCGAGGGGGCGCATTTTCAAACTTGGCCATGGGTGGCATGTTACGTTGATATAGGCCGTGTAACTCTGTCAATCAATCTCTATTGCGGTGATTCTCAAACTTTTGAACACGTTCCCTATTTCAAGAATTTGTCGAGTCTGGTGCCCTACCTCAAATATAGCTAGCTAACGATAAGCTACAACTAGGTGAAAGTATGTTTTATTAAAAAAACACGTTGCAAATACGTGAATGGAACGTAAAAATCCAGAATAAAAAATGTAAATATCTTCAAAATCAAGATCAATTCTAAAAAATATTTTTATTTTCAGTTTGTTTCTTCTTAAAAATTTCGAGCGCGCCATTATTTGAGAACCCCTTCTCTACCAGAATATTGAAAGCTGTTTAAAAAAATTGTTTAAAAATGTCTTACCTTCGATTGCAGCGGAAGTGCAACTTATTGTAGAGAGTAAAACAAGCGACAGAGTCCATAAACAAAACATAGTCAGTTTCTATACTATATAGCAGCCCAGTATTTCGTGGACTTTTATTAAAAATCTGCAAATCAAAAATGAAGATATTTATTTAAGGTATTCCTGAAGTATGCGCACCAAGATGTCGCATAACCTGAATCCTAAACTGGTACGTAACCTGAGTTCAGCTTGTGCGCCATATTCGTGCGCATACTCCAGGAGGTCCGATATTTTATAGGATAAGATTTACATAATTATCCTGGGGTAGAAGAAAGTCGATATGACGGCTTAATCAAATAGCAAACCACGGTCTCTCGTCCTGTTACCAGTTCATGTCGGGTATGGAAGCATGGACTTGGTTATAATGATGACCTAATATAATGATATGATTCCATCTTTTATAAAAGACAGCACTGTGCAAAATACCTTCTATTAAATTCATTTGCTACTATCCGGCGTGGTGATTTTCACAAGGATTAAATTTACGTCAGGCAGTTGAGATTTCTCTCTATTTTGGAATTATTTTTAAGACTATTGTGACGTATATTGATGACGTCATAATTAAAACCAAAATTGTGGTAGGAAATTTCGAAACTTATTGATCCTGTCGATTTCATATTAATTGGGCATATAGAATCATATATTTACTTACCACAAATGGTAGGTTAGATTTAGGGTTATTTAACCAAGAATTTACCAAAATCATGCTTCGGCATCGCCGCAGTGCACTTAGCAGCTGACGCGCACGGTGCAACCTTGCTTTGTCGTGTCTGATTGGTTGCATAGTGCCCGTCGGCTCTAATTTTTAATTTCTGTCTATGTTTGGCGGCGTTTACCGGAATGCCTCACGGAACGGCGCATCATATCATATGCCTCTTTCTGATTTTTTTTCACTGTTGAGACTTCTCATAATAAAAATTCTTAGACTAATATGCGTATTGATTAATTAATACGCATTTCAAAAACCAAAACGAATACTTTTTTTTATTCACTTAGTCATTATAGTTTTGGCAAGGCCGTCTACCTGACTCTCAAAACGATAATTCGACATTTTTGAGCAACGACACTTTCGCAAAAAAAAAAATAACAATATAAACCCATACTCTTCAATGAGAGATCTTCTTGGGAAACACAATTTGATTTCAACTATTATAACCAGGTAACTTTATAGTAAAAAGAATCAAAACTAAAGAATCTAACTGCAGCAAGAGCTCTTTTACCGCTACTCCCGTAGTGTGTGTACCAGGTTTGGGTAATGGGTTGGCCATATTTTTATTCCGATTTTCCTTATTTTAGTTCTATTACGAGTTTGGGGACTGTCTGTGTTAGCCAAGTAAATATACCTCCTTCTCGTAGCTTTCAGTCTCTTTACACAACTTGATGTAAAGTAGGCGAGCAAAATTAGTAACCTCCACATTGGTATACACACTTCTGAAGCGCCCGTTTACCGGCTTTTAAATCGGAAATTCAAAGATAGTAACCTATCTGAAGTTAATTCAATCTCACCAGCAGTACAAGTACAACTTTTTAAAAATCGAATGCTATCACTACTGTAATTGAATATTATACTTCCGCTTATATTGTATAATTATCCTTCACCTGTGATATCTCTCACTGAATGATTCCCAGGTGTCATCCGATCCGCATTAAGAAGCATTGGGGAGTTTATCTGATACAATTGTTTGTTAATTGTATGGGCCACGCCCTCAAATACCGCGACAAATTTTGATTGGATTAATTTGACTTATTCAGTTTCCCTTCTCCGTCTTACCGGTTATTCTGACAGCCAAGTTGTTTTATTATGCTGTTAAAAAACTAGTAAAATCGATCGCATTTGTGAGTCATTGAATTTAATTAGTTCTTGAAGTATTTTATTCTGCATGAAGTATGTTACAAAGACTAGCTGTGTATTATATACCATGCTTTTCATATATGGCAAATGACTGTTACGTAAAAATTAAATAACGGTAATATAACAGTATACCTTACCAATTTTTTAATAGTAATTTCAAGAAAGCAGCTCTATCAGACGAAGAGGCTCCTTCACCTGGGCGTGAGAACTAATTTTTCTCTCTCTTCGCTGCTTCAAAATTCCCTCGGGCAGTCTCAGGTCTCTGGCACGCGACTAATTTAGCGGAACATGCGACAGTATCAACAAATTAATAAGGTAATTGGGACTTTAGCAAATAAATATAAACAAAGATATTGTCTTGTACTGCGTTGTATTTATTCATATGTCACCAAGCGAGAATTATTCATAGGAAAACGTACGATTATTGATTTAGTTTCTGCGAGACTAACTACTTATCCTTCACCTAAACTTGTGCGCCGGTGGAACCGTATTCATATAAAGCAAGGATGCTGTAGCAAGAGTAAAGATAACTATCCTAAGTTATTCAACAGTCTTGCTTCCCGCTAGCATAAATATATTTCTGTACCGTTTCGTCTGACCAAAATCAGTAGTTAGTAATTAGTAAAAAGAAATAACACGAATTTGCCAATTTTCAAATCTTCATGTGTACACCACTTCATGAGAACAATGTATAAAATCCATAGAAACAAAATATTATTTTTTCTTCGTTGCCCTCAACGAAAGGTGGGGAACTACTGACATAGTTTACCCGAAGTTTCGAATGCCGGACGAATTCAATACATCTGTGAGGGCCAAAACAATATATGGTATCGATAAATTTCCTTTGCAATTTTAAAATTTTAAGACTTCGTGGAAACCCTATAACTGATATCACGCAGGTCCATAATCGATTTTTCGTCTTTCTGCTACAGACGATCACTCAGACGGACATTTGTCTTCTTTCTTTTTCAACAGTGCAATAAAAAAAAAATTTGCCACTTTTTTGAAATTTCAGATAAGTGGGTGGTGCTACTAATCGGAAGTGTAAAGTGGATTTCCCAATCTCTGTCAAAAGGAATATATCATGACCCTTCAGACAGTTGAATCATTTTGACACCGCCTTTTTTATCATTAGTACAATAAATTTAATTTTAATTACTTTGAAGCACGGTAATGAACTACGTGTGTTCTTGACAGTTACGTGCGTAAGTTAAATTTACAAGTGCAACATACGAAGGCGTGAATCGGAAACGCCCAAAATACGTGTACGAGGAACTTTGCATTTGAATGATGCTTTGCAAGTCAAAATCTGGGTTCTCCCGAAATATGTGAACCAATATGGCGGACACCGAAACGTAGTATGCGTACCGGGTTAGGGTTAGGCCATGTTTTCAGGTACAAATACTACAGGAGTTACTTGGCTAGTCCCCGAACTCGTAAGTATCGGGTGGGTAGAATGAATTGCTCTTAATCATAATCCAAGTTTGTTATTAAAATAAATAAACAAACGACGCCATTCTCGATTATGAAAGATAATCCTTCAAATGAACAAAGTAGGAAGAAACGCATTATCTGGAAAATTGAGCAAAGTACAAAGAGCATAATCCATGTAAATTCAAGGCGTTGGTTCATTTAATAATATACAAACAATTATCTACCATAACGTTGGGAAACGCAAGACCAACTACCACGAGTTGCGCTATGCCTTTATGGAAGTGGTTCCGTATGGGTGTAACGCAAGGATGCTCTGGATAGAATAAAGATGACTATATTATTTGATTCAAGAGTCCTGCTACACACTAACACAAATGTATTTCTGTAACGTTTCGTCAGACTTCTTCAGACAAGCATTATTCAACTACGATATGAAACGCGATAGCATGCACATGAATAATGGTTAGCGATTGTGAAACGTTACAGAAATATATTTGTGTTAGTGTGCAGCAGGACTCTTAAATCAAATAATATAGTCATCTTCATTCTATCCAAGACTCTTGAATCAAATAGAATTATCTGTCATCTTTGAATTAAAGTAAATGGTGATTACTGAGCAAAAAGTATTGCAACACCCCTTAGAAAGCGTTCGAAAGCGATTTTCTAGTCAACATACGACACTGAACTAAAGACAGTTCCCAATTTTTTTTTTGTTAAATTGCTTATTTCGGAAATTATTGGCATGAACTGCGTGTTCTCATTCTTCTTTGGATTAAGTTATTTTTTTTTTTTTGAAGAATTCAGGCTACAATTAATTGAAAGGTTACATATATACTGGTTGTTTCGTGCGAGATGTTGCACTATATTTACCGTAAATAATGCATTTGTGGTGCTCCCGAAGTATGCGAACCAAGATGGCGGACATCGGAACGTGGGTACCAGGTTAGGGTTAGGCGATAATTTTTTTCCAATTTTCCTTATTTTAGTCCTATTATCAGTTCGAAGACTAGCCAAGAGCCTCCCGTAGTATTTATAGCTAAAATTATAGCCTAACCCTAACCTAGTACACATATTACATTCCGATGTCCGCCATCTTGGTTCGCATACTTCGGGAGCCCCGCATTTGTTTTGTTGATTAACAATAATGATCAAAAGTGAAATTGAAGCATATAAAATACACTCAAATTTACCAGTTTTCAGGTATTACATGGGGACTAACTCTCGTGTATTGATAGTTTTTCGTTACAAGATTGTATTACAAGAACCCAGGGTATTGATATTTCATTTTTTATTTAAGAACGACTTTAGTGTATGTAGTCTAGTTTAGTATAGTAATATCCATATCCGTGAGAATAATCTTCTTTAATCATGACTCATCAAAATGCATGAACGCGAAATTTGTGACATATACGTTAAAATATAACTGTTCATTCAAAAGCTATTGCCAAGTAACGCTATGTCAAAAGCGATGTAACATGTACTTAATTTGTGTAACGTTTGCAAGCTAGACGTAACCGCAAAGTAGAGATATTACTCCACACGTGCCTTAACATCCAGAGTGCTGGACAATTCGTGAAGTTTAATAACCAAGTTACCCGCTGCATACAAACAAATAATTAGGACTTGTTTATGGCGATAAGATCTATGGAGCCTTCTGGTGGATCAATACGAAAAAGACATGTAAACAATCAAAGAACATATCTTGTGATTAATTAATGATTATCGCTAATCAATCTCTGTTATATACAAGCACTCGTTGGGGAAACGAGCGACTTCTGAGAATATCAGGTTGGCTCAAC